GTGTGTGTGTGTGTGTGTGTGTGTGTGTGTTGGGAGGACAGGACGAAACGGAAATTGCTGGTTTTGAACGTTCAGGATGGGTTCGTGGTATCTTACAACGCGCTTTTGTGCATGTTCCGGTCCATAAAACACTACTAATAGCTTCGCCTTCGTCGTTGGCTAGGTGGCCCCTCTTTCTTTCCCCATATAATAAGATCCGCGCATGCAGCCGCTCTAGGTGTGCTCCATGCTCCATGCTCCTGCTCAATGGGGTCCTCCCAATAAGGTTACTCATCTTCGGAACTGTCCTCGCCCTCGCTTCCGTCATCACTCTCATCAGATTCAAACAATGAATCATTGAAGAGACTCAAATGGTAGGCAGAAAGAAACTCTGTCTCGTTAAGACGCTCGTATAACTCCAGCATCGTGTCCGCGTACCGATTTCCCCCTCGTCCCACCAGTCCTGTAGTCGCCACCGTCGCACCGTCTACTGGCATTAAAGCCAGGTCCTTGCGTTCCTGCGCAGACATGGATTCGACGATCTGAATTATTTCGAGACAGTACTCGTCAGATTCGCCAGTGGTGATCGCCCCCGGAAATAGCTGTTGCATTTCTTCGTTTGTGTGATTGAGCAGCGTAAATCCCATTCGTCTGAGCGTATCCAATGCCGACCTCTTTGTTTCAAAAGACGAATAGAGGTGTGTTTGAGTCTTGATCTCGCGCATCTTTGTGACGAAGCATCTTGCAATCCGTCCGGCATCTCTTGGTAGGTGCGCTGAGCTTGCTTCCTCGTCTACTGAGCTTGCTTCATCATCTACTGAGCTTGCTTCCTCGTCTAATATGGCATCTTTAAGCGCGTCGACACAGTATGAAAAGTCTTTGTGCTGCTTTCGTTCTGCCTTTTCTACCTTTTGCCGTTGCTGGTGGGAATGGTACTCTTGTCGGATTTGGGCTGCGATCGAAGGTCGCGGACAGCTAATTTGACGAGCATGTGCTGGCTGAAAGTATTCTTCGAAGGTGATTTGTCGAGGCCTTCTAATGCCGTGTAAAGGTTCTCGTCCGGTATATTTGTGATCGTTGTGGTGGATGATTTGGCTGTTACAGGTGGGTTCACGTCGCTCTCGGCGCGCTGTCGCTTGAGTGATGGCTCCGTCATTTTGTTCACCAGATAAATTACGAATGTGGTGTAACTCGCGTTTCGCGCAAATGCGAGGAAGAGTCAACGTGTTGTCGCGACAGCGTCGCGAGGTTACGCGATCCGGCAAGTTCCACCACGGAAACGAGAACGTCATCTTAATAAGCAGAGCATCTATACAGGATCGTGATCCCTGTTCCATCCGGAAAAGTCCGTGCTGTTTGTATTTACAAAGTTCTTAAAGAAAACGGCGCCCAGCTGGTGTCTGCGCAGATGCTGGCGGCGTACACGACTTAAGATAATGAGACTAGGAATAAGGGCAAGCTCTCGACGAGAGGTCCGCGTGGGAGTTACAAGAAGTAGAACAGAAAACAGGAAGCAGCACCCAAACCGGAGGAACAAAGATAGATCATCCTCTCCGTGCCCTTTTCCTCTCGTATTTAGCCAAAACCCATCGGCTTTTCGCGTCGTTTTTGGGTGCACCGCAAGAGTCGTAACACTCCATCCACTCCATCTCTTCTTCCGAATTGTCGAACTCAAGGCCTCTGCCATATATGTTGTGCCTAGGGACATCTGAGGCAGGGCTTTCGTGCTCATGTTCTTCATCGTCCTCATCGTCTTCATCGTCCTCCTCGCCCTCCTCTTCCTCATTCTCGTTCTCATCTTCTTCCTCGTTAACCTCGCCGGCAAGCGCATCGAGCACACCCCCAAGATCAGCGAAGATGCAATAATCTTCGGCAAGCTGATGAAGCTCCTCCATCTTTTGCAAGAAAGTCGACCGTCCATCGTGTATGGCACACATCTTCTCACATTCTTCCTCGCTCATCTTGGCAACTACAGCATTCATCGCATCCTCCAATACCGTTTCAGCGCCAAACTGTTTACGAACTTCGTGGCCGATGACATCGCCACTCAAGCAAATCGTCTTGCCTATTTTGCGCAGCGTCTCAAGAGCGGATCGTTTGGTACCAAAGGAGGTGTGCTGAGCACTCGCCTCATCACCGATGCTTCTGATGGTGCTGGTTACAGATTCTAGCACTTCGAAAGCCATATCGTACTGCCTTGAACCACTCATCCCGCTGTAACGCCTGTTGATAGCCGACCACACGCTCTTAGAGTCTGGATCGAAGTCGATAACTTTTGACTGCTCACGCTGGACGTGCTCGTGGTAGAGCTTGCGCAACTCCCAAGCGGTGGTTGAGTCCCTCAGGGCTGCACCATACAGAATCTCTCTAATCGTTTTGCCGTCATCCATAGTATCTAGGGTCTCGATACATCCAAAAAGGCTATATATTGGGATCTCAGGGGGCTGAAGAATGAATTGATGAAGGGATTGAGGGATGAATTGATGATGGGGTTGAGGAATGGACTGATGAAGCGGTTGAGGAATACTGCTTTGTGCAGGCGGCTGCGAAGGTACCGCGTCGCCATTGGAATTAGCGCGTTGACGTTTTCGTGAATTTTCCATGGTTTTGTGTTGTCAAAAAGATGCTGTCCAATTGATTAGGTCGTGGTTCAGATGATGAATAACGCGTGAGCGGTTGTTCAGGAGGTCGCGAACGTGACGCGTCGGCCCTCCCAAAACGGTTGCGCTAGCACGCGTCGGTCAAATCCCGGGTCATTGGATCAGCCGGCATCACTAGGACAGAAGCCTATGTTCGGATACTAAGACCTTCGCTGTGCATACTTTAATCTTACTTCAGTATGGGCTTGCCGCGGAGGTTCAAATGGTCTAAGTAATCTTCCTCTTCTTCCGAGTTCGGTGATGAGTTTCCTGCTAGACATCGTCCAGCAATTGACAACCTTCAACACCAGCTACTTAGACATAAAGCGCATATGAAAAGCTCATTGCTTCTCAGTAAACTGTGAGATTGTTATACTTCTTTCACTCTTCACCATCCTCGGTAGTTGATTGGCGGTCTGTAATAAGGACGGTAGACTCCAGGCCCCCAGCTCGAACCTGACTCCCAGCCAGTTTCACCTTCGTCCGAGTCTGGCTCCTCCAAATTTTCTAGCACTTCAGCTTCCTCCCCATAAAGGTGTTCGATAACTCCTCCAACGCCCTTGAGAATACAATAACTACCTGCAAGACGCTGAAACCTCCTCATCTTCTTCACGAAGCTTGCTTCTCCGTTCTGCATCTCGCGCAGCCTTTTGCGCTCGTCATCGGTCATCTTGTCGATGATGGCTTTCATGGCGTCAAGCAGGCCAGTATGCAATTGGAACATAATACGGATGCGGTAACCAATCTCGTCTGTGCTATTGCATATAGCCACTCCGATATTGCGCAGCGTTTCAAGCGCTGATCTCTGCGTTTCGGGATGAGCATGTGCTTGAGTGGCTTTGTCCTGGATGACCTTGGTGATGTCATCTATCTCGTTCGTGACAACGAATGAAGCATCCCATTGCTTTGAGCTACTGCATTTGCTGTAGCGCTCGTTGATCGCGTGCCACACGTGGTCTGCGTAATACTGGAAGTCGATGGCAGTAGGTCGGATATCCCGCTCGCTTCCGTCCTGTACAACTGCATCGACCCCATGCTCAAGTCCTGCTCTGTCGCCTGGTCCGGTCTCTCCGGCGCCCTCCACGCTCCGCTCTTCTTGGAGCTGGCCGTGATAATTGTAAAAGCGGCGCATCATCGAGGCGACGATAGGCGAAACAATATAACACTCGAGTGAGAAATCCTTGACGAGCTGTCCGTTATCGGCGGCGTGTAAAATGTCGATGAAGCCCTTCATGTCGGCTTCGGGTATTGCGGGTGCAGGCAAGACGGATGACGCTCGAGCTGTCTGCGGAACAGCTGAGTCGCCGTTCGTATTGGCGCGTTGTCGTTTACGTGGCGCTTCCATTGCTGCTCACAATTCCGTAGGACGTGGACGTGATGGTAATGTATTGTGATGTCTTGATATGTAGTTGTGACGCGTCGCGTCAGGATGTTTAAGATATCTAGGTAATCACGCGCGTTGCGCGGAGATACGTTGAGACAATAACATGACAAGCGGGAGCTGTCTCGGAGCGACTAGAGGGACGCGTGTCTCCGTATAATGATCCGGGTCAAAAAGTTATTGATCCGGGTCAAAACGTTATTCGTCCTGGTCAAAAAGTTATTCATCCTGGTCACTTTTGGCGCTAGCGAGAGTTAGTGATCCTGGTTAAACCTTGGAAGGAACACCAAAATCATGTGACGGTCGGCATCAACGCCGGGCTCGACTTCCTTGCTCTACGCGTATCTCGCATCTTTACGAAGTGTTCTCTGACCAGCGTCAGAGTGACAATCTTGACGCCTGCCTGCCGAAGACGAAGGAGACATCGACTAGCAGGGATATGATGCAGCGACTCAGGCGGTAAATCGTGCGATGACATTGGCTTCGTGTGCAGCTACTTCTATAGTCGCAACGTGTCGACATTTGGAAGGTAGACACTGCGACTGCTTCGACTGGTTAGTAATGATCATACGACGAAGATGGGCGGACGCATTTAGAGAGTCTGTCGAGGTGGCTGGAATACCGCAAGTCTGATGGAAACGATGATGCTGCAGCAAGTGACGAGCATGTGGGGCAAGGTGCGACTGACAGCTTATCTCCAGGCTGCACGCCCAACACTTTACGCCTGATTCACGCGCCGTAACAGCAATCGAATACAGCGAAGAGTAAGTAAGCGAGTGGTGTAAAGATGTGCGACATCGCCGTGATACTATCAAAGAGGGCTTGAAGGATCGCTTTTGTTAACGTATCTAGCCCCTTCTAGAGCCACATCCTCTATACACACTCCTGTCACTCCAACATGAAGCAAGTGAACTCAGATAACCCCAGAATGGGTGGTGCACCCAGCGTCACGCTTCCAGAAACATCAGCCGCCCTCAACGTAGAGGAATACGCATCGAGACCGCAAAGTCACGGCCGCACAGGTTTCCCCAAACAAGGTGGACAGTCACTTTCGTATTGGTTGCAGCAAGTCCGATGCGATCCACTCCTGGAACACCGCACTACCGATGAGCTGCCACAAGAAGCCGATACGGTCATCATTGGGTCAGGCATCACCGGGACGCTCGTTGCTAAGCACCATCTCGAGACGTTTCCCGGAAAGAAAGTGGTCATTCTCGAAGCGCGGGAGTTTTGCTCTGGCGCAACAGGTCGCAACGCGGGCCACTGCAAACCTGATCAATGGCGGGGTTACGGGAAACACGCCAAAGCGTACGGCCATGAGCAGGCGGTCAAGATCTTGGACAACGAGCAAGCTACATGGGAAGCGTTAGTAGCATACGTCAAAGAGGATAACGTGGAATGCGATCTCTGGGTTGGAGAGACCCTGGATGTTCCCCTGGACGAAGAAGTTGCGAAGATAGCTAGAGAAATATTTGAGAGGTACGTGGAAGCAGGTGGAAAGGTTGACCATATCCAAGTTACCCACGATCCTGTTGAAGCGGCGCAAAGGTCTCGGATCAAGAGTGCAAAAGCTTGCTACGCATGGCAGGCATCGACCCTCCAACCTTGGAAGTTGACTGCACACATCATGCGCGACAACATCAGCAAAGGCGTCAACCTCCAAACTCGCACTACTGCAAAGTCAATTTCAGAAGGGACAGGATCTCGGAAATGGATGATCAATACGGAACGAGGAGGCATCGCATGTGACGCCGTTGTGCATGCTACGAATGCGTACAGCGCAGCTCTCGAGCCGTCACTTTGCGGTATCATCACGCCCAAGCCGCACATGTGCAACAGAGTAGTTCCGCCGCAAGCCTTCAGCGGCTCCAAAGCTATTAGCAACTCCTATGGAATCCTGCTACCGGATGGTGCGTTCTTCAGTATCAACCCGCGTTCGTCTTCCGATGGCAACATCATGTTCGGTGGTTCCAATCCAGGCCAAAAGGAACTGGATGCGTGGGTTGAGAAGAACCCAGAAAACTGCATCAACGATGGACTTGCGAACCTAGAAAGTGTGACAAAGCATGTCAGGAAGTTTGCAGAATCCGAATTCGACGGTTGGAAAGACGCCCCTACAGGTCCAGGGGAGGGCTTTGAGTATAGTTGGAGTGGCATCATCGGGCTGAGTGCGGATGGTGTGCCGTTCGTCGGAGAGCTACCCGGAAAGTCTGGTCAATATATCTGTGCCGGCCATCATGGACAGTAAGTTCAATAGTCCACGAAGAGGTGCCAGGCTAACATCGGGACAGTGGGATGGGGCGAATTTTTACAGCAGCGCCTGGCTTGGTGAAGCTCATAAAGGGAGAAGCCTGGAGTGCGACGGGATTGCCAGACGTGTACCAGATGACAGCCGAAAGACTCGAGAAACTGACGAGTATGAATCCCGCACCTGCCATCGCGGTTATATGAGGAAAGGAGTTCGTACTTGCATGACTCGCGCACTTGAACCGTCCCTTTCCTTTCTCTTAGCTACCAAAAATAGCACGCAGAACCACAAGAAAAACACGAACAGCGCACAACTTTCCGTAACCATGTCTGGGACGCTTGCGCGACCGCAATTTCGACCCCGTCACCTGCAGTGGTTCACGAGCGTAAGAGGCGGTGAACTGTCACAGTCGGAACCGTGAAATCGCATGCCACAATCCACACTTTTCCTCTTTTCTTTCCTAACGCAGTAACTTTGTAACTCGTCTTCTGCTCGCCCTGGCATTAGATCGTGGTAGCGAGGCCGCAGCGGTAATTTGCTTGGTGTTGTGCCGCTGCGTAGCTTATTGGTTTGGGTGTTGTGGAAATTTGACACGGCGGTGTCGTGCTAGGTGGTTGTTGCCGGTAGCGAGGGAATAGGCAATATAACGGCAGGGGCGATAACGGTTTGTACGACCGTAAGCGCATGGCTCTGCATTGAAGGTCACATCTTCAAATCTTCGGTTTGTAGCCTTGTCTCTGGGGTGGTGACAGATGGTACTCTGACAGCTCGTGGAAAGTGCGGGGTGCGCTCGGGCCGACATCGATGCGGCGGGTACGAATGACTTCACTCCGGACTATACATGTCCGCTAATATATACTTCGGATGACAGCCAGGGCTAGACGAGAGCCAACACTGGTCGTACCTGAAGATTACAGGACTACACACACCGGAAAGTTTACGTCATGTCTAGCCTACCAGACAACATCCGCAGGGCGCTCGAGGTCCTACTTCCCAAGATCAAGTCGCAACATCAGGAGTCATCAAAGCCTATCATACTTGGTATCACTGGCCTGCAAGGATCAGGAAAGTCGACATGGGCATCAGAGCTGGTCAAAATTCTGTCGAAAGACCATGGCCTCCATACGATAACGGTCTCACTGGACGATTTCTACAAGACGCATGATGAGCTAGTGGCCCAGCGGGATCGGGATCCAAACAACAAGCTCTACCGTACTCGTGGACAGCCTGGTACACATGACGAACAGCTAGCCCATAAGTTCTTCGGGGATCAGAAAGAGTATACTGGGAAAGGCGACCTCAAGATACCCAGCTTCGACAAGAGCAAGTACAACGGCGAAGGCGACCGAGCACCCGAATCAGAATGGCCAACAATCTTACAGAAGCCTGACGTTGTCGTCTTCGAAGGCTGGTGCGTCGGCTTCCAGCCAGTTGCACAGACTTTCATCCAAGAACGACATTCGTCGGCAAAAGCCGGGAAGCTCACAGTCAACACCCCTGCGAACCATCAGCTTCCCCACTTGTTTGAGGTGAACGACAACCTAAAACGCTACTGTGACGCCTTCATGGGACCTCAGCACTTTGACTTCTTCATTCACATCGACACGGACGATCTGAGGAACGTGTACACGTGGCGACTGCAGCAAGAGCACAAGATGATTGAGGTCAAGGGGTCGGGAATGTCGGATGAGCATGTTCGCGCGTTCATTGATGGGTATATGCCGAGCTATGAGATATACCTAGAGCGCCTGCGCGAAGGACTGTTTGATGATAAGGGTAGGATGGTTAGGGTGGTGTTGGATAAAGACCGGGGCGTTCAGAGGCTTGAAGAGTTATGAGAAGCTCTGGGTTTTATATCGATGTCCAAGCACTCTTGGCCGACGACAGCAGAAGACGAGAAAGGATGATGGGACAGCAGAACTGAGATGCTGAACCGGTGATCATGACATGGGAAGATTTGCTTGATATTCTTTCGCAGCGTGCGCTTATCCAACATACTCGCTTTCACCATCGCCACGCTTAGTTCTCTGTCGTTCTAGGACAACTGTATTTGCCAACAAACACCCCATCGCCAACGCCACCTCTTGGACTTCTGTATTTTTTTCTGCATTTGATCATGGCTAACGCGAACCACTATGAGGTCCTTGGTATTGATATCCAAGCTGATGACGCCGTGATCAAAAAGGCATATAAGCGAGCGGCGCTTGCGAACCACCCCGACAAGACCCTGCACCTGTCAACAGCAGAGATCGAGCAGCGAACACAGATTTTCAAACTAGCGACAAATGCGCACGAAGTCTTGCTTGACCCGTCGAAACGAAAGGCTCACGACAGAACCCTAGCGTGGGCAGTGAGACCATCCAATGCACCAACTGCGCCACCTCCCCCAGCGAGACCTCCTCCGGCCCCAGCCTCAAATTCATCAGGCTCCCAACGACCGCCACCTCCAAGATCCGCACCGAGGCATCGCGACCCGTTCCAGCCACCAAGGTTCCACTACCCTGGTAGCCCAAGAGAACCTCCGCAAAACGGGGCAACGCAAACACCACCTTCTCCTCCCCCTCCACCACCCCGAAACACCCACTTTTTCACCGCCGGAAGTCCAGCAACCTTTCCCCCGCCAACCCCCTACTTCTACGCCCCCGTAACAGAAACGCCCCAACGCACAACCCTCACCTTCTCCAACAACGACAAATGGGCCTTCAGCATCGAAATATCAAAGAAGTACGAATGGACCCTGACTCCCAAACTCCCATTCCTGGGGGAAGAAACCAGAGAATGGATTGCGATAGAATTCCGCCTGCGCCGAACACCCACCTGCCCCGCTACTGTATTCATCAGAGACGTCATGCTGACCGTTGAATCTACACCTGATGACCGGAGTATAGCGGTTAGTTCCATCTTCGCCGAGAGGAAAGACGGTATAAATCTTCGTATCACGCTTGCTGGGATCGGTGCGGCGCCTACTCCTACTATACCGTTGCAGGTAAAGCAGTCTTGGATGTGGACGTGGGATATAGATTTGGGCTTCCTGGTTCCGTTCTATAAGACGTTGAGAGCGACGCACCTGATGTTTTATCCGCAGTATCCTGTAGATGCTGTAGCTGTGAATGGGTCGACGCCACCGACGAAGGGACCTTTTCCGATGGGGTCACCGGCGGCAGAGTTGGTGAGGATATTTGGGGAGATGGTGTTTGTGGGTATGACGAGGCAGTCCTATTGTCAGGAGGTGAAGAGGGACGGGAAGACGTTTTGGCAGCTTGCTGCTGTTGGGCATGTTTGAGTTATATGGAAGATGTGCGATGCCGGGTTGGAGGTATGCTGGTCGTGCTATGTGTTGTCAGCATGAGAGGTCATGGGTTAGGTCGCTGCTACTGCAAGGGTGGACTGCATTGAACAGTGAGTTTGTTGATAACGAATAATACTTCTTGATTCTATGCTCTTATGAAACCAAGCCGCTCAGAACGCCAAATATGCAAACCATCTAAAAATGATCTATAGGACACCAGGGATGGGGCCCTTCTTCTCGTTGGAGCCCAACTCTTCCTCGTTCCATCCACTGCCAGCGCCAACCTTGCGTCCGCCCTCCTCTCTCTTGATCCTGCACCAGAGACTGATGTCCTTGTCCCAGATGAACTGCCAGATAACGTACACCCAGCTCTTGTGCTGCGGCAAGTCTTTGTAGAAGTCGTGCGCGATACGATTCAACGCGTGGAGGCGCGTCCAGGGGATCGCAGGGAAGTCGTGGTGCTCGTTGTGCAGACCGACGTTGTAGGTGAAGAAGTTGAGAGGTCCGTAGTACGAGTAGGTCTCGGGAAGTGGGATCTTGTTGGCGGGGTTCGACGGGTCCTTCTTAGGCTTCTCGAAAACGTAGTGCTCGGCGATGAAGTGACCTGCGCACGGGTGCAGAGATCCGGCGAGGAAGCTGCTCATGATCAGGTAGCCCAATGCCCTTCCTCCTGCAAATCGAACGAGCGCGAAGTCGAAGGCTAATTGTACAACGACGTTGAAGAGGTGGATCTTGGTCATTGGCAGGGCGTAGACGAACATAGGTCGGAGGGCGTAGAAAAGGATCTGGAAGGTCGCGAAGAAGGCCTTGCCAGCGACTGAGTCGAGGAAGATTGCCTCAAAGGCAGTGGGCAGATCCGTGTCGAGGCCATTGACGCCCAGCGACTTGTGATGTGTCAGGTGGTATGGCCTGAAGGAGGCGCTGTATGGAATGCCAATTGGCAGGTTCGCAAACACAGCAAAGATCCTGTTTGCCTGGGGCGATCGGAATGCCAAGTTGTGCGATATCTCGTGAATGGCGAGAAAAAGATTCTGGTTGGCCGTGGCGCCGATTACGTATGCGGTAAGGAAGAATGTCCATGATATGACGGGGGTATTGCGAAGGAGGTATGCGCAGAGGATTTGAATCGAGACGACGAGTAGGACGACGTATTTAGTGAGAGGCTCAGGGCCACAGAGCTTCGTTACCTGTATTCGGTTAGGTGATGCTCAATGGAAACGGTTTGATAGTAATCATACCTCAGGGTGTGCCTTGATAATGGCCATTCGCCGGGTCCTATGGGGCTCTTCGGTGTATGTCCAGAAAAAGTGGTCGTGTTCATTCGGGGCTTTTGGCTCCTGCTGTTTCTCCCCTTTGACAGTGAAGCTTCGGGGAACAGGCTCCTTTGACGGCACTGTCGCGGTAGAGACTGAAGACCGCATGTTGGGCAGTCGTAAAGAACAATTGCAGGGTGTGTGAAGGGCAGAGGGGTCCAGCTCTCGAAGTTTGTGGAGTACTTGACCCTGAGCTTGGCGCTAGCGGAGGCGGTGGGGCTGTCTCACGCCATGATTGGCTGATAACCTCGTCTGATTCGCCACCCCGCTAGCGCAGACGCAGGAACGTTGGGCCTGCCTTCTAGAACACCAATTTAGGCCATGCTGAGGTCACCATTTTACGTGTAGAAGATATGTCAGATGGGCATTTTCATCTTCTATTCATCTGCATCTATAGATTGCTAGCCTCACTGTACCACTCGCCACAATGGGCTACTTTCACCAGTCTTCAGTCGTCCGACTCCAAGTAAAAAGCCCATTGACTTCCCACGCCCTCTATATTGCCCGCGAATAGTTTCATCCCGGGAGAATACTTCTCTAGCCAATCCATAAAACGAGTATCACTCTGGTCCTTGCTGAATTGTTGGTTTGGGGGTCGGCAAATGATGAGACTGGGTTTCTTCGCTCGAGGCGTATTTGCGGATCCAGCGTGAGGTGTCCCCTCGCCCCAGGTGTGTCCAGCGAGGACTTGTCGAAGCGGAGTAGTCAGATTTAGCGTAATAAACGCGTACGCATTCTCATCTTGCCTTACTCCGTTCCATCCACTTCCGTCATTACTCGCGCGGACATTCACGAGTGGGCCGTGAGGTTCGGGAGGGTTGACGATGAATTCCTCTCGTAAGAATTTGATGTCCCATTCCGTGTAGTATGGATCCTCGAAGATGATCTCCAACGGAAGAGCATCAGGCCTTGAAATATTGTGTTAGTTTATATTCATAACGATGGTTCAGACTTACGAATTGGCCAATCTTGCTTTGTGGAGCAGAGCGCAGATTACCACGCGCGCCAAAAGATGGGCTCTGAGGGCTTGAACGAACTCATCGGACCCGTCCTCTCCCATTACAGCTCTGTTCATTGTGCCCAGGCCCATTACTAGCACTCTTCGAATGGTTGTTCGTGTATACAATATGTTTCCCAACTCATCATCGTATCCAAATCGTTCTGGCTTGGGTCGGTCTAGGGTGGAGTCGGGACGCTTTAGACCAGTGTAGCCGATCTTCGGCAACATCAGGGATGCTACCGGGGCGCCAAGGTTATGGTACCAATATGGTCTGATGTCTGGCGCATACCAAAATAGAGCGAATTCAGAACGCGTTTCTTTGATCCAAGGCGGACTCCCTTCGGCGAGCTCTTGAGTGGTAGCGTGCCTTCCTATACCCGTGTGTCCGACGTGAGCGACTTTGTCGTAATCTCTCCATGGTCCGCTTTCGTTGTCAGGCACCTGTGTGATGGCAGCCCTAATCATAGCCTTTTGTGCGTCAGGTATACAGTTGGTTGTTGCTGACGATTGGGCTTGCTGTGGTGCCTGCATGACGATGGACTTGTCTTCGTGGATTGTTGAGCTTGTGTCGTGGGAATGTATGTATGAATTCGGTGGGCAAAAGAAGAAACGTACCAGAGCTGCCTTTTATACTCCTCAGTCTATGACTCTAATATCGAATTGCTCAATACTACAGTTCTATCTATACGTTTATGACTGTTCAGTGAAACGTAGAACTCACCTCCGCGAGAGACTAAGACGGCTAAAACGGCCCACGAACCATCTGGTGCCACTGTCCATGAGTGCAGTAATACCTTGACTCATGCAAGGTGATTTTTGCTCTAGTCCTGGTCACTCAAAGCGATCTGTTCAGCTCTGGTAACAGGAATATCGCTTGTAGGCAACCGTGCAAGTGCCATTTTCGGGTATCTGAGGTGGTTGCGTAGTTCGCAACGACTCGAAGAACGTCGCACAATGATGCAACCTCTGGGCGTAACATGCGAGGAATGTAGCTATGGCAGATGCTCAGATCTTGTACAACCAATGTTCGATTTGGTATGCATCACTACCTATCAGCTCTTTTTGTGAAAATGTCTTTCCAAGGCAGCGGTTGCATGTCATTGTACATATGATCTCATCACACTCTACGTTCGACATGCATGAAATGTGCGTCAGCATAGCCACAGAGCGCTTGCACAAGAGATATCTGTTTAGAAGTCTTCTTTCGAAACTTTCGAAATTTTCGAAATCCACAGTACGCTATACACAGTGGGTCAAATGCATGGTATATGAGATTTCTTTAGCAGTCTTTCACCATGATCGCGACAGCCATTAGCATTCTTTCACATCTGGTTGAACTCACGTCCCAGTCAAGTATCGTGCCTCAATATTCGCGTCCATGCCTAGAGGTTTAACATGAAATTTGGAGAACCAAACATGTTACTACAGTATCATTCTATGGACTGCCAGCATCTAATTACACAACCTTGAAAGCCATGCCTCGACCGTCCCACCCTGTAGTATACCGCCAATATCCTTGTATATATCGTTACATCCGTCCACATTTCCCAATCATACCTAAGCTGAGCCTTGTACACCCAGAGCTTCGGGACTATTGTCTTGGCTTTCAGGCTTCAAGATGTGAAGCCACATTGCTCCACCAAACATCTTGTTGTCCTCCTCTGTAAACTGATGGACAACTGAGTATCTGCTGAACCAATCTGCAACACGCTGGTCGGTTTTGTCTTCACCGAATTCCTCGAACGCGCGTCGGCAGATGATTGCACGTGGCATAATGGGATCTGCTTCTTCCGTCCATAGCTTCTCATTAGACCCCTTGTTGTATGTGTAGGCGGCTAGAATCTGGCGGAATGGATCATCGGGCTTGAAGGTGATGAAGATATAGTCCCCATTACTTCCGTGGGTGCCACGGAATGAACGCCCGTTACAATTGGGGATAATCTCGATGCGTTTGTTATCCGTATAGATTTGATGCAGGGTCCAGCCTTTGATATATTCCCTATCTTTGTCGACGTATCTGGAATCCTCATAAAAGATTTTGAAGCCTTGAGGATCAGCCTAAAGTAAGGAACGATGTCATTAGTTTTGTGCCACGCAACTGATTAGGGGATTCAAACTCACTAGGTTATTCCTTCTCGCCTTTTTATGCTCCCGTTTACTGAGCGTGTAAAAGAGCGTGCGTAGAAAGAAGTGTGCTCGCACGTTGTCCTCAAAGTCTTGTTCTTCGCAGTCAGCGAGACTACCTAGACCCATTCCAACAAGGTTGCGGATATTTCCTCCCGCCTCCTTAAGAAAATCCACGATCTGATCGCCATTGTAATCTTTGAATTCGGGCATCCCCTTAAAGCCGTGCGCTTCGACTCGCGCATCGAGTTCTTCAAACCTCTCATAAACCTCGTTCTTACTACGTTGTGCTTTGTTGATATCTTCGTTAGTTCTGTCGAGAGCACGCCAGAATCCCTTTGGGACCTCCTGTTCCTCGATCTCTTTTGTGCTTGCGTAACGACCAGGATAAGCACCAGGGTGTATGAGACTGCCATCCTCAAAAGACCAAGGGTTGTGTTCGTAATTTTTGACCTTAGTCAACTCTTCCGGCTGGAGCATAACGGGAGATTTAGACATATTGGCTCGTGGATAGACTCGAAGGTAGTTAATCAAGGATTTCGTTGGTATAGTTGATGCTGATCGGCTTGCTGTTGATACGTATGGCTTGCTGGATTAATCGTTGGATTCTTGAATGCTGGTTCGGTAGCGTTAAGTTAAGAGACTGGTGACCAGAGAAGGCCTTTTATAGTGCTATCCAAATGACTCAACTCAGAACGAGCACCATGGCGGAAGAAGGAGTGAGTCTGGCTGAGTGGTCTGTGGTGTCAGATACGGCTGGCGAGTCACCTTTAGTGTACCCAGCAGCGGCTCGTGGTGTTACTGAACCTTTTTGTGCTACGATACAGGAATCGATATGACTCTAACGGAAGCGAATATCCGTGATAACCAATCGTTGGCGCGTACCGTTGAGGGCCAACTCGACACAAAGAAACTCAGAGCTTTGACACAACTCAGAAAGTGACTCTCTACGCCGCACGAGCATTGAATCCCGCCCCAAGATGCACACTCTCGACATATGACTCTGGTCTGACTGGGTATGCTGGAAGACATGCGAGCAAGTACCGATCAGCACCGGCACGAGTCGGGTGTGTGCACGTTCACCATAGCACGAGATACTCAGGAATGTAACGCACAGTCAACCTGGATGCTTTTGCTACGGTGTGCCGCGTACGACATATGAGCGGGGTATCATAATCTTTTCGTTCCTTTCACGTCACTCCATAACTCTTTCCCGATGTTCTTCCAGTTCCCGACCTCTTCATCACTTCTCTTTCTCCTGGTGAGGCCTGATCGCCTGACTTCCACGAGCCATACCACGCCCCAGTAAGCGACCGACAACGACACTAGTACATATGCCAGCCATACGATCAGAAGCACGGATGTACCTTGATCCAGCTTCCCCCCAGCAACGTCGATAATGTCACCAGCCACCGAGAAAACCCCAGATATCAACACCGTGAGCAAGACGGCGGCGACAAAGGCGAATGCGCTCGCAAGGAATGGCCAGAACATGTTGAAGTAGGCGAGAAGTTTTGAGTGTGGAAAGATGATGGCTGGGATGGCGGAGACGGCGGAGAACCCAGCACCGACGAGCGAGACAAGCAAGGAAGCGAAGACGGTGTATCGTACGTCGGCCAATACGGTAGCCATAGTCCTGAGGAGTGTTGAGACTAGGATGATTGGGGAGAGTGGGTCTTGAGATCCATCAGTCGGCGTTGTCAGTGTCAATAGCCCTACAGAAGTATGGTCAGTCGAGCCTCAACGCCTTCGGAAGCATGCTACTCACTGTCGCTGGCTTCGCTATAGCTTTCGCATAGTTCTACGACAATAGTATCGGAAGCATCGTCTTGAGCATCGGAGACGGAGCCCGAACAAACTTTCCTGAGGTAGAGATAGTAGACGTCTGCTAGTGCCTCGCCGTCCACGCCTTCCGATCGTATCGATGTTGCATCTGACTGCGAGCTCGCTCGGGCGATCGTAGTTGTATTCAGCTGCGGTTCGTCAACATTTGTCTTCATTTCACCGAGGTCGGCATACGTACTGCCACGATGTACTGTCCACCAAACATATGGTCATCGCTTCCCGCCAGTACCAGTATCAGCGTGAAGACGAAGCTTGCGACCGCGAATGCGATCGAAAGGATAGCAGAGAACCGGTACTTCATCAACACCCTTTTCGGTGTCTTGGGCGGCGCCGGCAGGGCCTTGTCGGTAGACTTCCGCAAGTCTCCAAGATCAGGCTCAATGGCTATCTCTTTCCCCGTGTAGAAGGTCTCCTCTATGTGATCCATCTTGCTCATCGACACACCGTGTGGTTGGAAGGCGCTAGCAGCGAGACTGACAGTGCCGACGGATGTCAGTACATAAGGACGGGTGTATGATGTCCATAGCAGAAGACATATGCACTGTCGCAGAGATGATAAGTAAGACGCTTCAACATGCGTGCAGCATGACGCAACTGTTCCTGGTTATCGGGAATCTTCAATCTCGATGTCTGGGAAGCATGGATGTACGTGGTAGGCTTGTCGCATGATTATAGTGTTGCATGATAGACCTGCTATATACTGTCGCGGATACGGCACATGTAGCCTTGCGCGGGGATAGACCGGTGGTTTCAAACATCCTATTAGTCGCCAGATCGCGATGGATGTGCGAATTCGGCGATCAGCGTTCCTGTTTCGGCGTCGCAGGACGTGGCCAAAGCGTGGCATTGAGCAACAACCCGCTTCAGATGGATGGGGTCTGAGATGTTTCGTCGACATCCAAACAACTTGCGCATGGCCGGCCCACGCATTGGGAGTGCGCGTTGTGCCGAACTGAAAGCGGTTGTGAAGTTCGCGAATGCGAGGTGGTAGCTCCCGTACCTAGGTAGAAACGGGGAGCGCTTCACTAGTGCGACTGAAACGCCGAACTTTAGGAGCGACGATCGTGACCTATCCACATAATGCTTGTGCGATACCACGTCGCTCAAGTACATTTGCGAAAGGCTTTTGGTTGTCGGAGAGGGACCGAGAGTTGGTAAGATACTCGAACGCGCAGCTGTTCTACTGCTAGAAGAACGATCCTGGGGGATATTGTCCAAGAGGCTGGGGCTGGAGGTTGGGAAACGCATCACCCTAATCATGGGTTAGTCCAACAGCACCTGATGAGCCGAGCTAAACGTACCCAATCGAGAGGTAAGGTATACTGGTCCAGATCCATTGGCATGAAGCCAAAATCGAACGGGTGACCAAAAGCACTATTGCCCATGTCAAATGCATCCGAGTCGGGAACAGCAAATCCAAGATTGTTAATGTCGAAAATCTGGGATGGGGAAGTCAAATCAGGTTGGGCACCTATGTGAGCCGCTTTCGATGACGTTAGTAGATGTAAGCGGGTAGTAAATAAGATGCCGCTCACCGTGCGCCGAGTCGGTAGTCTGTACCCCACTGCCGTGAACTTTAGAGAGAACAAGCTTCACGGCTGTAGCAACCTTCCGTGCCTCCTGCGATCTCTTGCTAGCTCTGATCCATATGTGATAAGCGGAACGCAACGACGCGACGATTTCCTCTTGCGTCGGGGACGCTTGGTCCAGTTGCACCCCGCTTTCCATGAGCTCAGAACCCAGCGGGATGGGAGCAATGAGTTCCTCATCAAGCTCGACTACCAAGACGGTAGTGGCGAGTAAGAAGTCTTGCGCAATGATGGAAGACATGTACCAGCTCAAGGTAGAGAGACGCCACCCTGGTGAAGTTAGTCTGCCTCCTGGTTGTACCTCAGCGTCAAGCTTGCTCTGGAGGCGAAGCATCTCTATAGCAGCGTTCAAGCAGACCCTGCGGGAGTATGTATATCTGCTATCGGTTCGGCCGAGTACGAAGTAGGGTCGATGCAACATAAGCTCGGCCTTCAAGAAGGCTACGTTCAAATACGTGTAGCGCATGAAGTCTGGTGATAAATCGGTACTAAGATCGTCGAAGGTGTTCGATGCTGGCGATTGTGGTATCTTTCCGAAGACATCTCTTAGTGTGGCGTCCATCTCCGTGATCTCTCCATACGGTGGCAGCGAGGTAGCATTGACGAGATCTACAATCCTGGCCTGCACACTTCGCAACCTCGTGAGAACGATGGAGTAAAGCAGTTGCGTCAACTCAGTTTCGGGCCTTGAGGGTGGTAGTTCTAGCATGTCTTCGTGAAGGTCGTCTTCACCCAAGTTGCGGGGCTCTTGAGTATCGTACATTTGCGGCATGATCGTCCGTGGCAGTCCGGCTTGAGAAGAGGTGGTAAAATCTAGCGACATGACTACGAGCCATTTACGACGCCTCAGCTCACCTTCGTGAGGCGAGATGTTCGGAAATCTCGACGGGTCCCTGTGGTATCCCATTCGGAAACAAAGACGTACAAGCATGCCAACAAGCATGTAGATGCTGAACTGGCTGTCGGTTGAGCGTAGAAATTCGGTACCAAAATACAACAAGAACGCTTCGATCGTGTATGGCGGTGTTTTGGTGTAGTTTGCAAGAATCATACCTAGATATCGACGTACGGACTCAGCAGTTGCATCACATGTAGTTTGTACCCAGTTTCTGCTTACATTGCGCAGCCTTCTCGCGATAGAAGTTGATCCGCGCCAGATCAGGAGCCAGTTCAGTATCGCCAAGCTGATGAGCGTTCACCGCGGCTTGAAAACGAAAGCCAAGTGCCAGTGCAGCGTAGAGTACACCCAACCACATAGTTGAAGTTTCCGATGGTTGTGTCCACAGCTCATTGTACTGTATGATCATTAGCTACTAGAGGTAGAAATGATCATATGACCTCACCTGTTTGAGAAAGGTTGGCTTGTGGATGAGGGCTGGAGACATCAGTGGACGCCTTTCAACCGAGGTAGTGAGCATACTTGGATGAGATTCCATTGACATGAAGAATGTATCAATGAGACGATCCGCTTCTGGCCGCGGAGGAAGAGCAGCGAGGAGCTCTTCTCTAGTCGCATGGGCATTACGGCCAAACAGCAGCTCTGGACCGGGTACTTCATTCACCACTTCATCATCCGGATCGGGCGATACGGGCACCTGGTCGAGATGTTCGCGCAGCTCCGATATCTGGGCTGGAATTAGAGAGGTAAGAGTCTCTGTGAGAGGTTTCACGTACGCTATCAAGTATGCTTGTCCAATGTCCACTGTTCGTATAGCTTGTTGCATCGCAGCTGAGATTTACGCGATCCGGCGTGCCAGGCAAGTCACCATTGTTTCCTCCGTTATGATGTTGCCGCGCTTGTGATGGGCTGGATAGCGCGGGATTAGCTGTATCAACAGGATTTCCACCGATGAGGTTGGTGACGAGCTTTTCGAGTTGGTCAATCCTGTCATGGACGCTGTTCGGGATTTTGGGTTCCTTTTGCACTGGTGGGTTGCGAACATAGACGCACGACAGCGAGAGTCCGCGATCGACACATGTTTTGCATGGCTGCTGTCGATCACATTTCAACCTCCAGTCAATTAGCATGCAATTCTTTTGGGCAGGTAAGCTGATTGTTTACTTGCGTCGTCGACAAAGGGTGCAACTTAAGATGGGCTTGTCTCTTCGTCGACTTGGAGGTACCACTCTCGGCGTCTGATCATCCGCGCTCATTTCGAGTGGTAGTATCACAGTGGGTCAAAACAAGGCGTAAGGGCACAACTCGCGTTGTTACGAAGATGCCTTCGGGGCGGCCATCATCCCCGATGCCGAGGCTAACCGCTTCGGCCGAACACCCCCCGCATTCCATCTCAGCTTACGTCACTGTCAGCAATCATAATGTTCCTAGTTCGCGACTGCACCGGTGGAGATTATCCTAAAGACCGTTGCATTCTAATCATCCTTCTCGTTGTCCGACTATCTAAATCGCTGGCACACATGCTAAAGCCGCCATCTATCCAGTTCCTGCTCCGCCTGGTCATTGCCTGTGCTCCACACTAGCACAGTTCCGATCACGCGATCCCCGACTCAGCTTCCGGTGGCAGTCAATAGACTTTTTTTATCCAAAGAATCGGACTGTCGCTCGTAACTTTCGGCATCACTACAGACTATCATGTGCCCATCCATTAAGCGATTACAGTTACGACCTATCTTATTTTTCTGGGTTGGGCGAAGGTACCTTTTTAAAGTCTTCATCCAGCCTAGAGGCTCTAAGGATTGCGATCTCTCTTAATTTAATAAGAAGTACCTTTGCGTATATAGTAGTTATATAATTTAGAAATTATAAGTAGCTTATCTTACTTTACATTATTATAGTACTATAGATAAAATAAAAGAGAACTAGAATATTAAATTATACACACTGCAGTAAGTTAATAGTTAAGAAATATATAATGCGCACCTTAGCGTCTTTATTGCTTTCACAACTCACAGCCTAGAGGTATGACATCTAGTTCATGTCCATGGAAGTATGCCTGTAAAGCAGTGCCCCAAAACAGGCGCCACGACTCGGATTCGACATTCCGGAGGCCGATACGCTTGATGGCATGCTGGGGCGCGCGTTGAGAATGTGGAACCAGGCGACACACAGGTTTGAACCAAATCGTGGTAATCATACGGTTTTGCGGCATGGATAGAATGGACGTTAGGTCTTCCCACCTCTTGAAGTCTCCGATATCGAAGGTGGACAGGCGGTAGAAGAGTGGAGTCGCTTCACAGCGCATTTGCTTACATGCGAAGAGGAGGCCAACAGGCTCGCGGTTAGAGGTTGGCGCACCTTCGTATGTGGACGAAACCGACTTGATCGTTCTGCCTAGACAGCTATATTCCCAGATCTTATTACGCAGCTCACCAGGAAGCCGAAGAAGAGCCGAGGTAAGCTGATTTCTCTTTGTACTATGCCTATCAGCGACTGATCAACGAACATGCAAGACCACTTACATGGCTTGGATTCTATTGGGAGCCGTAATCCAATCCTGCATCTCTGATGTAAGTGTTGAGGACATAGTGATGGTTGAACTTGGATGCTGAAACTGGATTATAAGGGAGTGTAGGTGGTTACATACAAGTGCAGGTCTAAGAACCCGTGGGAGTTCGATGGCAGTGCCTTAGCTCAAGCTTCCGCGGACATACGATTTCACATTCACCCCCGTGCCTTGGCGACCTGCAATCGACCCGACACATACGTTGTGAAATTGGAGTAGGCGACTAACAAGTGACGACGACCAGAATCGACCCACATTCACGGTTGTCCATCATCGGCAGCTCTCAGGATACCCTCCAGTCCTGCCTCAAATACAATCTTGATGGCTGGCTTTCCATAAACAAGGCGAAATGCGCACACAAGGTCAGCCCTAGTTTCGGAACTGAGGAGTGACAATTGTAGCCTCGAACCTTTGACGTGAACCGTGTTCAAAGCCGGGAACGCGTTTGCGTTAGCCCTCCCTTGAAATTCAACCTCTTCCTGGAACCATTTGGCCGGGTGGGCCCAGTGTACATATTGGAATTCTACCGACAACAGAGAGATTTGAATCGAGGTGATCCGCGCACACCGCTCAGCTCCAATGGCGACGATAGCGGCTTCGTGGCTATAAGGCAGGGCCATTTCCATTTCGAAGGTCGCTGTAGTATGTAAGAGTGAGCTGGCTTCACGGTGGAGCTGCCGACAGCAGCAAATGAGACCGATAGGGTTTGTCGCGCTTTGTTCGCCTTTCCGCGGATACATACGTATCACAGAATCTGTAAACGTGAATAGATAGATGAGATTGCGAAGTTCTGCAGGAAGTCGTAGAAAAGGCGATATAAGTTGGTTGATCCGCGCACTATTCCAGTCAGCAATTTTATCCCCGTGTCTTGAACAGTGTTGTACGCGTTAGCCTTCAAGGTGGAGATGCGAGCTTACATCTGGTCGCCTGTTGTGATCGTCAGACCAGTCGACTCGGGGTTGAGCGCCATGATGCAGTCGTCACTGTAGTAAAGCGTACCTAGGTAGTTGTTATGTTCACGAAGTGGGCGCCAGACAATAGAGGAACGGAAACGGACGGAAGTGTCGCCCTTCAGTCTTCGTGGTCTGCCCGAACAGGCTAGGTGCTTCGTAGGTAGATAATGACGTCATTGGCTGCTACCTCTAGATAATGCAGCTTCTACCATCTCACAACTCAGCAGACATGTGCAGCGCGGAAGCTTTAGCATTGCCAGAACGAACTTCGCGGCGATTAGTCAGGCTGTCTACATGTCATCGACAACAGAGATGTCGCCAGTCTTCGCTACACGCCTGATGCGTCGCTCGCAACCCCACACGCGCCCTTCCGCCACCCAAAGCATCATTGATAGTTTGTCCGGCCTACGAGTTCGACATCCGACTCCGAGAAATCCTCGCGCTTGACTTGGATATCGATAGCCTTCGAGATACCACCCAGAGACAGTCGATGACCTGATCTTCGCATACGATAGCGATCGTCACTAGAGACGTAGCTGCTCTTCCCGGAGCCTGAGGACGTTCTATATATCCTTGAAATTGTATGCTGGTATATCGCATGCATGGCAGGCATGCATGCGACTACGATAAAGAGGTTGGCTTCGGTTGCACACCAGTAAAGACCGGATACGTTGTCGTCTATGATTGCGCAGTCAGTCATTGTGCAGCCAACAGGAGGAGCAGTACTCACAAGTCGGATTTGAGCTCTGATCGAATTTTACGAGAGCCCATAAGCGAAGGCAACTGACGATGAAGATGATGAAGCCCACAGCGAACATAGAAATAATCTGGACCTTCTTCTTCCAGGACATCTGTAGTCTCGCTAGCATGGGCAAAGGCAACGATAGGATTGCCACGTCGAGCATGATCTCAATGGCGCCGCGAATGAATCCAAATAGCCGAACGTCGACAGTGCATCGTCCACTAGTTTCGCCTTTCCACCCGTCCCAGAAGAATGAGATAGGCTGACATTGGAACATCATAGCTCCTGTATTACCAATGCCAAAGCAGGTAACGATCCCCATTAGGATGTACGTAGACGTTCTTAGTCTTGCCGAGGTTGCGATCCGCAGGTAAAAAGCCAGGATGGACAGTTGACAGAAGGCTTCTGCGATTTGGTACATGATATAGCTAACGTACAACCACTGGGGCGGAATTTAGCTTCACAAGGGGCGCTAAAGGCGAGGCTTACCTTGAAGCTATTTGTTATCGCCGCTGGCGATATCCCCCACAAGTCTCTTCCGAATCCGAGACGAGCCGCTAGGAGGCTCATCAGTCGACCATTTCATCTATAGATGGAGTGTTGGGAGGGATTTACCGACGATGACAGGGACGTTCTGAAACAACGAGGCCAACTACGCTTCGTCAGCTCTAGCGTCCCGCACGCTCAACGCTCATGACTTACCCCAGCCAGCCCGATGAGTAGGTCGTCCAGCCCAAGCTTCGCCTTGGCTGAGACGAACCGATCTGTTAGTCGCAAGATAACCATTGTTACAGCAAGAGCGCCGATAGATGTCGTGACAGCGATCATTGTCTCGCTCTCGTCCCTGATCGGTATGCCGCAAGCCGCGTAGGTTTCGTTGGTCGCACTGAGTGATGCGGTAACAGTACAGCTTTCAGCATTGCAATTCGCGAATGCTGTCTGGAAGGTGGTGTCGGCACACAGACAGTCGAAGTTGTCGGGCTTGCAATTGCTCGAGGGTATAAAAGCTTGGAAACACTTTGCCTGTGGTTCTTAGCCGCTGGTGCCACGAAAGTTCGGTCATCGACTGACTGCACAGGTCGGTAGTTTTCGCAGGAAATCGTCTTGCGCGAGTATAGGTAGCACTAAGATGGCGAATGTCGCAAAGTACTGGACGAACTTCATCGCGACGATGATCGAGTGGGAAGGTGCGCAGCAGCGCAAGATTTGTTACCAACAAAGCATTGGGAGTACATATTCAACATGACGCATGATTCATAGCTCAGGTCAGTGACGATCCGTTAAGGGGATTACTTTCTTGAGCATCTGACAGCTCGCAGGATCCGATGGATCATGGACGTTGTTTCAGTCGCCCTGTCAAACTACCATGCCTTGGAATGATCCGCGCGCAATAGGAGACCATCACTGGTGGACTCTAGGGCTTGCCATTCCTTGACAGTTCTGTGCCGCAACCGATAACATTAACGTCCAGAATTTGACAGATTTACCCTTTCGACACGGCCCAAATCCTGCGGGATTGCTACGCTTTATTCTACTGGCGGAAATGTTCTCGAGCACTTTGTATTTGCATTGATGCGGCGCAGCCGTTCTAAGCGAACCGTCATCACGCAGGAAGATACTGATATGGCGAAGGATCTGGCTTGGCAGGACAGGTATATCTCGATCATTTTACAATCCCGGCAACTGCCTTTCCTCATCACTGTCATCACCATGTCTATCGTATTATCAGCCACGATCGCTATTGCTTTCGCTGCATTTGCCATACTTTACGCCACCCGTTGGCATCTGGAGAGAAAGAATGCGAGACCTCTTCCCCCGGGCCCAAAGGGCCTCCCGATTATTGGAAATGTCAACGATATGCCCAAATCCGGCATGCTTGAGTGCCACCACTGGCTACGACACAAGGATGTCTATGGCCCTCTTAGTTCCGTCACAGTGCTAGGGCAAACTTTCATCATCATTAACGACCCTGAGATCGCATTCGAGCTGTTGCGCGATCGCTCAGCGATTCATTCTTCGAGACCCAGCCAGACCTTTAGTGGTGACATGTATGTGGAGAGCTCCATAGTAAGATGAGGGAAGTGCTCGCTGACCATGCGGACAGGGTAGGATGGCGTCATGCAATTGCGATGACCCCGTATTCCGCAGAATGGAAAATTCAGCGTAAGAATATCACCAAGATAGCGAGCACGAACGTTTCCGTGTCCGTGTTTGATAAAGCGCAAGAGACGGAAGCCGCGCACTTCCTGCTCAACCTTCTAGAGTCACCCGACAAGCTCTTTGATCATATACGAAAAGAGGCTGGCAGTGTCATTCTCAAGATCACCTACGGCTACACTGCTGTCGCCAATGGCAACGACCCTTTCGTTGATATGGCCGCCAAGACTATGGAGCAGTTCGCCGATGCTACAGTTCCTGGGAAGTGGTCGGTAGACATCTTTCCATTCTGTGAGTATCGCTTCTTGATGATTAATATGGCCTCTGACGTCGGCTAGTGCGGTACTTGCCAGCATGGCTGCCAGGTACGGGGTTCAAAGACACGGCGAGACGAATGGCGGCGCAGCTCAGCCAATGCACGAATCAACCGTATGAGTTCGTGAAGAAGCAAATGAGAGAAAAGAGGCATTCGCCGTCTTTCTTGTCGCAATGCATTGAAGGTCTCGGTTCGGATGCTGAGATGGAGTTTATTCATAAGTGGACTGCATTAGCGCTCTACCTGGGCGGTGCTGATACGGTAAGCTTGTATGCCATTATCGGCGCCTCTATTACTTTACTGACTCAATCCATAGACCGTGTCCTCGATCATGACCTTCTTCCTTGCTATGACTGTCTTCCCGGAAGTTCAAAAGAAGGCCCAAGAAGAGCTAGATCGCGTTATTGGCGGAGGCCGGCTACCCGTCAGTAAAGACCGCGAAAGTCTTCCTTACATCGAAGCAATCATGAAAGAGACCCACCGCTGGCACCTCGTCGCACCAATGTGCCTTCCACACTGCAGCACGGAAGAAGACACCTGTCGCGGGTATCGCATTCCGAAAGGCTCCATCCTTCTACCCAATAATTGGCACTTCACGCACGACCCTGAAGTCTACCCCGACCCAATGGTGTTCAGACCAGAGCGTTTCCTCGAAACACCCACTCATAAGAGTGAGCCTGACCCTAGAAACTTCATCTTCGGATATGGTCGCCGCATCTGCCCGGGCCGATACGTGGCGGATAACGCGCTCTTCATTACCATCGCCCAGACTCTCGCAGTGTTTAACATCACCAAGTTCGTTGATGGAAATGGTCGCGTTGTGGAGCCGGAGGTGAAGTTTGAGCCGGGAGCGATCAGTCACCCTGTGCCATACCGTTGTTCGATCAAACCGCGATCGGAGGATCATAAGCGGTTGATCAAGGCTTCAGAGCAGTTGTTTCCTTGGGAGGAAAGTGACGCCAAAGAGCTGGAAAATATAAGCTGGTAATGTAAGAGCAACCGCCCGCCCAGCTACATGCGTGTTGCGTGAAGCTTCTTTGCTACCTGCACATTGTGAGCGCAGGGGTTTGCGTAACGTCTGTACTATAACATTAGGTATTTTGGAAGAATTGAGGACTTGTGGTGGGTGTGAGACAAGACGCAAGCCAGCCGGAACTTTTTATTTTGGTCTCTTCGTATAATGCTGAGAATTTCTTTAATGTACAAAGGTCGACAAATGCCTACGTTTAAAACGCAGCTGACAACAAACTATGGTGTAAGTCGAGTAAAGTCTCAGCTCATGTAACACACACGTCCCACCATCGTTGCTTTGACTATTCCTTCTTCGGTAGCGGATTGACAAACTTGTCCTCGTGGAGCTCTTCGTCTTTAGGCGCCACACCACGTTCTTGTAGTTGTTTGAGCGCCTCTGGGGCTACCTTCCCAATTTGGTGGCTCCTGTATTGATTGGTCTCAGAACGCGTCAGCCACGTCAAACGACCCTCGATTTCCGTATCGTGGATGTTCTCGATCGCTTTGTCTGCGCCCTCTTTGGTTGCGAAATCGATGAAGCAAAGAATGCGCGGTTCTTTTTTCTTATCACCATAGAATGGCGCGAAGTCACTGATGCGTTCGATGGTACCATGTTTGGCGAATTGCTCGTCAAGTATCCGCAGCGCGTTCTGTTTCTGTTTGTTGATGCTGGTATTGGACGTCCAACCGGGTGTCTGAACTCTAACCATCAAGCGACGACCTTCGAGCAATGGGCGTACAGCTTCGAGTGCAGCGGCGGGGCCCTCGTCAAAGAAGTAGCGAGTAGCGTACTTGTGGTCTCGCTTGTCCTGCACAGGGCCCCAAATGAAGTCGTCTTTGAGAGGCCTGACGATAAGCTTCTTGCGCTGTAGCTCTGCGTCATTAAGCTCTGCAATGACCTTGGCAGCCTCTGCTTCGCTTCCAAGTTCCGCGAAACACCTGGTGTCGTTCTGGAAAGTGTAGCGATCAAGACGCATCTGCAATCTCTTGCTGGGTGAAAATTAGCTCGAAACCCTGTTTGCGAAATCTCCAAAGAAATGTTATAAGACGTACACGGTGCATCCTTTTGATCGTAGTAGATCCTCGACCTCTCCTCTCGTCAGTCGCTTTGGTATACCCAATAAAGCAACCCCTGATGATGCGCTTGATATCGGAGTGCGCGCATCAGTGAGTGCAATCTCTGGTCCTCTCGACGGTGTTTCGATGATATTTTCCCGCCTCAGCTGGCTGGCAGCGAACTCTCGCTTCGTAATTGATGTTCTGATCAACGGAACAGCTGATTGAGCAACGCGTACGGAAGGCGTTGTCCGAGCAAAGAGACAGCGCCCACGAGAGAGTATCCTGGGTACAGCCATAGTCAATTGTGTTAGTCCGAAGGTGATGGTAGGTCGCAATCGATGATGGCGAATGATCGCGTCCACTCGAAAAGACGCCAGCCATGATCGCGCTGAACAGAGAAAGTTCCTTGGCTTGCCAAGACCTGGCTTATCGATAACACAGGTCACGAAACCAGCGAAACTGCAACCGCCACGCTGTGCAACATTTTGCAACGATTCGCTCAAACAAGGCTTCGCCCATTTATTTTACTAGCACTGCAAAGAAAGATCTGATCACATGTCTGCGAGGAATGTAACAAGATAATTCATTTAATATCAAGCTACTTAGAGATCATCTAGCCCTAAACTGTAAGACCGGCCCGTCTTTCTTGCTAGCAAAGACGTCCTGGATCTGATACTCAGACGCCCTTGTCCTACCGACTTCCAAGTCCTTGCTTCCAGCACCCAATGTCGTGCCCGGCGCCAGTCTCAGGTCGTATAGATAAAGTACCCTGGCAATCGTTACCGACAGCTCAACATACGCGAGACCCTTGCCAATGCATCCACGAGGACCGATGCTGAAGGGGTTGTACGCCGACTGCGCTGCCTGGAGACTGCTATGAAGCGGGTTCGCGGATGGATCAGATAGCCATCTCTCAGGAATGTAGTCGAACGGTTGAGGGAAGTAGTCGGCGTTGTGGTGAATGGCGTAGATCGGGACGCCCACGTCGCATCCGGCAGGAATGTGGCGACCATCGATATCCAGACCACCGGCAAGGACTTCCCGGGGAAGAGCACCGGCGACTGGGGGGGTCATGCGCATGGTCTCGTCGATGCAAGCACGGAGGAATGAGCAGCCGCTCAGCTTGGGTCCGGTTACGATTTCCTCAACATCATTGAATGTTTCCCGGATCTCTTTGCAGACTTTCTGCATCGCTGCGGGGTTGTGTGCGAGGTAGAAGAAGGCACCAGCCATAGCCGTTGAAGTTGTATCAGAACCAGCGATGATCAGCAAGTTTGATTCGCCCCAAAGCTCATCCATGCTGAAGCCTTTGCCGGTTTCTGGATCCTTCGCGTTGAGCAGGTAGTAGAAGAAGTCTTTACGATCAACGTCGACGCCCAGCTTTGTTCGCTCCATGGCTTGACCCTTGCTGTACTGCATGTACTGTGCTCGCTGGCCTGCGATCTTGCGGAAGAAGAGCTTGTCCAGGTGCCAGTTGTGGATGGTAAGGTGCGTTCCGCAGATGAGATGTCGGTGTGCCGCATTGCCAACCAGCTGAGTTGCGAAACGATTGGTAGGGCCTTCCAGCATACCAAAAGCCTTTCCAAATACCAGATCACCCATGATGTCGAAAACGAGCCACTCGCACCAATGCGCAGCGTTCCAAGCGTCGTTCCAGCCACCATCCTTCTCATCGGCGAGGCTCTTCTCGGCAGACCAGTTGTTGCTCTTGCGTCCGAGCAGTTCGCAGCCAACACGTACATTTGCCAGGATGTACTTCTCGAGACTCTTGATGGCCGAGTCGCTGAAAGCGTGGCTCATCACACGTCTCTTGCGTGCATGTTGCATCTTGTCAATAGAGCTATGGACGCTAACCGCTTTAGGTGTGCTGGGGAACGCTTCGTAAAACGACGCCTTCTTGACATTGCTGCGAAATCCATAGATAGTTTTGAGGCCAGTGGCGGTGTTGACAGAAAGTAGGTTCGGTCCAAGACGGACGTACGGTCCATATTGCTCGTGCGCGCGGTGGAAAGCGAGATGCCGAGAGCCCTTGTAGGCGTAGTACGCCAGATAGATATCTGTGATCTTCGCGAGGAAAGGGCCCGGGTATGATGCAAGAGGATGGAAAGTCAGGCGGTAAACGATCACTCCGAAGATCTGAGCGTGGTGTTAGCTTTGGATTGATCAAGACGAGAACGCCGAGCAACGTACGTAAAGAGCCAGGGCTCCAAAGATGGAGGCTAGTAGGAATAGGAATGCCATGTTTGTGGTATTGAGGCGCGTTGAGTTGAGTGATGTTATTGATGTGTGACAAAGGTCATTGCCACAAACACGCGCACCGTTGAACAATTCGTGTACACGATGAAGAGTACCAAAACCGTTTCACGAAGTAGAGGGTCGCGCACGCAAGGCACATAAGTACTCATTCACCCTCCACCATCATCCGCAGCTCCCGCAATACCCTCTCTGATCCCAGGTCCATCGCGATGACAAAGAACAACAGCGTTGTGGAGTAGTCTCGTGCCCTTCTCATCGCAGAATCGGCGAGCGGGTGTCTTGGGTATACGTAGCGGCGTGTCACGGCTAATGTCGGATATCGATGCAGAACCCCGTGTCGCAATCACGCGCAGCGGATATCACAGCAAGCGAGGACACTAGTGCGGATACCCGTGCCATCCCACCTTTTTCACATTGGAAGGGCGCGGATATCGTGCGCGTAAGCCTGGCAACAATCACGGTTGCAACGGCAGTGGGGTAGGAACGATTTTGCATCATGCATACCTAGGTAGTCAACAACGCGTGCACAGACGCGGGCTCATATCATCTTGATCTAGCAGGCACACAATAAGTTCACTGCGGCTAAGGGGGTGGTAGAAAGCACCTGGGCAGTGATAAGCTGGAGCTGCAGGCCATCTACTATCAGCGTTTCTAGCTGGATGCTTTCTCAGATCCGGCAAAGAGTATAGACTCAGCATTCAGAGGCGAGTAATCGAGAGGTATCGCTAACGCTCTCATCGCCTGCCACGTTGACCGTGAAGCACCAGTACCTCGTGAGACGAGCGTCCGGCTGGGGACAATGACTGCAGGATGGTATATTATTGAGATCAGACCCAAGGCGGAAGATTGCGAGTGTAGTCGCGGTTCTTGGTGTTCGCGACAGACCTGACGAATGAAATGGCGCGAGTATCAAAGCGGATAGTGCCGTCTTGGCATCCATCGAGCTTCGCGAACATCACCAAGCGTCACGATAGTCGACCCAAACGCGCGACAGCACGGCACCCGCCCATTGACCCATTGACACCCTTGCAGCCTGTCTGGAAGGCCAGTCCCTCAAGATGTCCGTCGCCAAGAATGTGAAGACTACTGTCTTTTCGGTACGCAGCCCGAACCGATCTCGAATGCCTTTACCTCGCCGCCCCTCTTCGGCCATTAACCATTGCGAACACTGGTACTGACTGTAGACCTGTAGAAATACACCGTTCAGCCTACCGGAATCTATGCCGCGATTAACAGGCTCTTCGCGCTCGACCCCAAGCGCTCCACGGGTATCCCCATGAACCCGCAATTCCGCAACCCACCCCCAGGCGGTCTCGACCCCAACTCTTACGACGACCCTGTCACTCTCCCTGCCGCTGATATCGCCGAGAACCCATACTGGAAGCGCGACGTGCGACGACGATACCCCAGGCTCTCGACAGTCACCCAGTCCGACGCGGTTGCGCTGCTCGAAGTTGGAAGCGCGGCAGCACCCAAGCAGGAGCTGATTGGCGAGGCAGGCACAAAGTCGCTGGTCGCGGCGAAAGAGGAAGGCGCCAAGGGACTGGCGGTCGCGTTTGAGAAGAATACTGGACTTGCAAAGGATGTGCTGGGACCTGGTGGTATGCCTCCGCTACCAAGCGGGCTGCACAACACCCTTGCTGGCGGACACAAGCGATACGAGCTGGAGAACGAGCAGTCATATGGCACAGCGTAGGTCTTTTCATCTGATTTTGCAGGAACGACACTAATGCGATACAGATACCCATGCCGGACATTTGCTTAGAGTACAAGATGAACTGGGTAGGTAGAGAAAGATGATCCGTTTTCTGTATATATGGAGACATTTCTTCCATGCTTTCCGTGTAGCCATCAGTGAACTTTCATAACACCCCTTGTCATGAGCGCGTGGGAGTGTTGTAGGTGGAGCGCACGTGTCCGAATGTCTGATCCATGTCTCTTGTGTCTCACCGTGCGTTTGTGTCAATTCTTCACCTCGCATCCTTTGTTGTTCCTTACCGTCCGTCACCGCGTCGAGAAAGGAAAGCACGACGTGTGTTGATGTCTTGGCGCTGTTGACAGCGACTGCCTCGTCGTCACTTCCATATCCCAACTGCACCCACCTCCCACCCGCGCGTCACTCCTGTCCTTCTTTCCACATCGTCGCAACCGCAGTCATGAGCGCTGTGTCGGAGAAGGGACCAACAGAGCTGGGCGCTGATCCCCTCAACTTCATCTACGCCTGCTCGGTGTGTTGCGCCTCCTTCGCCGATGTCTACGAAGGCCACAACGAGACAGTCCGTGGCCTGTCAGATGGTATCAACCCAAAAGAGCGCCTTGTGACGCGCCTGTTCCTCGCCAGTTGCTGTCATGTCTTCTGCAGCAGTCATTTGGAGGGCGGCGGTAAGTGAAGCGCGACCGCACATTAGGCAGCTGCTGACAGCCACGACAGGACCGCCTTTCCATACAGCCGGACAGCGACCCCAATCACCCTGTCCCGTCTGTATCAAAGAGAAAGGCGACAGTGAGCCGCGCGATCTCTTCTCGATACGCGGCTTCAAGAAAGATGAATACGATCCTAACATTCCGCTCGCATGGTTCACCGCGCCTCCCATCCGCCTCGATGGTAGCGGGAAAGAGATGGAGGCATTGCGCGTACGTCATGTCACCCACAGGTCATGACGCCAGCTAACAATAATCAGTTCCAGTATATTGCGCTTATTCGATACTGCCAGAACACATATGCGACCCGCAAGCCCCTTCAAGAAGCCTTGACCAATATGGAGAAGAAACTGGCTAGTGTGCAGGATCTTGCCTCCAAGGAACACGCGAAAGTCGTTACACTCCAGCAAGAGAACGAGCGACTACGACTGCAGAAGGATCAGTTTCAAGCCATGAAAGCCGAGGTTCAGCGACTCCAGGGTCTCGATGAAGAGGTTGCGCATTTTCGCGATGTCAACCCAAAGGACCTCGCAACATTCCTGGCAAACAAGTCAGCAATTCGCCATTACTTGAAGCTTGTGCCTATGCTAGTCGAGTAGGCCGAATACGCCATGCTACGAGGCATTTGCTAACCGCTCCAGTCAAAACGAGAGGATGCAGAAGCGACTTGCCCAACTCGGCTTTGCGATGGCACTAGAACCTGTACCTAACTTCAAAGGCATTGACCCTCACGCATTCGATAGCGACGAAGCTTCGCCTGAACGCAGCGGACGATCGGGCGGTAAACTACGAACGACTGCCTCAAGCCATACCGCCGGTAGATCGGCTCATACAACTGGACGATTGGGAACCGCATCTTCCGGCTCCTTTGTCCCGCGACCCATGAAGCGGCAACGCCTCGATTCACCCCTTCCCACCAATACCCAAGCCTGCCATCCTTCAAGCCGAGATGCCATGCCACCTCCACCAAAGCCGATGTCCAGGATGCAATCCATGCGCAAGATGTTTCCGAGCCTGCGAAAGAAGTTCTCCAGTGATCGCTCCAGGTCTGCAGCAGATGGGTCCTTTGAGGACGACCCAGACGTGCAAATGTATGATAACGGACATTGGCAAGATGTTGAAGTCGGTCATCAGCCAGGACGCGATGACTTCCGCGACGAGACACCGTACATGTCGGGAGCGCTGCCCGTAGAACAGCCCCATCAAGCCTCTGACGTTCGAGGATCGCAGCTACTTTCTAGTGTAGGCCTCAAAGACAACCGGTCAGACTTCACATTCCGAGCATCGTCTCCAGTCAAAATAGATAAGCAAAGCAGTGGCCATCGTCCGGTTCATTTGCCTACTGAGCCCTCGTACATTCGTCTTATGGATGGCTTGTCGCGCGACAATGGGATGGAGCTAGGTCTGAAAGACCCTCGCGAGCAGACGAGCACGAATCATCGTAACGATAGCAGGAATAGGCAAGTACTACCTGCTTATCGGCATGAGCACAACGCCGAACCAGTTGATTACCGGAGGCCTTTGGATCTTGGACATCCGTTCATGCACCAGTCGCCACACAGATCTCCGGCCTCTGTCGATGCGCGTCAATATCCTTCTAGCGACCACCAGACTAACGAATACACAAACAGAGCTCACGGCATGCCGGATCTTGGCCCCACTACGCCAGTACCGAGACGCCAACAAAATCCCGGCCATCAGATCGAGAGTGTAGTAAGTCCCTATTTCCGAACCGGTCATAACCAGGCCCGAGTCTATCCATCGCCCGGCCGCGCTGAACTTCAGGATAGTTCCGATCATTCCGGCGATTATCGGTCACGAAGGTCAAGGACGAACCAACCTCGGGCCGGCTGGGTTGAGGCTCGCAGTCTAAATGGCCTCTCATTCTTCGATTCACCCGTCGATTCTAGGAACGAGCCTATCGAGGTGGACCACCGCCGCAGATTGGTAGAGCTAGCACCAACGCCACACTCACATCAGCATCAAAGACGTCATCTTAATTCACGTGGCTTCATCATACGCCCGGAAGAGGGACGCTCACCATATACCAGCGACAGTGCCTATGGCTCTTCCCAAAACCGAGAACTTTACAATAGAGACGCGCCCAATTATTCCCAAGCAGCAGTTGATGTACCGCCTGCATATCGCCCAAGTCGTTCCCGCATCGGTCAGGTGCCCTCTATCATGCCTTCCATTGTTCCAAGCCGTCCACCTGCCCGGGTCCAGCCTCAATGGGAGAACCTGCAGCGTGCGGGCGTCAGGAGTAGCCGTAATGTTTTCAGTAGCGTTGCTGGGAACAATTATACTGCGCCTTCGAGGAATGTCTTCCCTAGCGCTGGTCGGCGCAATGTTAGACGGTAAAGGCAACCTATGCGTTTCTTTTCCTATCGAATAGCGAATTGAAGTACTTGGCTTTATGAATGGCCATGTTCGCATGGGGATCGGCGTATGTATGACCGGGCAAAGAAATGATTAGATACCCAGTTCTGCCATCGCCGGGTTTCATCTGTGAGCTACTCCTGCAAGACTAAATTCTAGGTACGATCAGCGTCAACCTCGTCTATATGCCCGAGTGTTAAACACCCATTCATGACTACGACTGCAGCGTGCAAGGCGGAGATGCGCACCGCGTTCCGCAGACCGTTCGATGCGACGATCAAAAAACCCTCGCAGTGAGCAGATTTGCTGTCTCGCATCACGTTCAATCAAGAGTCTGCCCCATGATGCTTAGCACGCCCACGCCTTCCCTCTCTCAACACGGAGTCTGTCAATTCAACTCACATGTGGGTAGACAGCCGGCAGATGGGAAGCTAAGACGAATGCGGTAAGGATCAAGGAGGTTTAATATGCGAGGACTATGCAACGAAGCTTCCTCGGCATGCAAGGGCCAATGCCGGTTTTCGATGACATTCATTGGCGGAGTATCATGCGCAACTTATTGTGTCACATACACACCTGATTACTTATTCTCCATGTTGCAGAACTTCGACAGTTGGCGCGATGGTTTCATCTTAGCGGTTTTTCTTTGCCGACAGGCCGTTGTAACCTCCCCACGAATCGTAACCCCTGCGTCCCCGCAAAGCCACCGCGCATGACCCACGATCCCGGTTATTGAAGCTTCCCTTAATATGGCCAAGCAATCTATCAGGCACCGCGGCTTCAAAGCTTCAGAACCATGATGCCACATCCATCACTTTCATATTGGCATCAGATGAAGGCCCACTCATTGCCATGGAAGAAACGGAAGGCAAAGCCCGTCCATTTGTGGGGCATTGAATCATTGGCATGCGAACTATTCGCGGTATAAGAGTAATGTTTGCCCAGCAGGTGAAACATAGGACTGTAGAAGTATTCTTCGCATCTCTACACCATGCTATTCAAGACTCTTTTGGCGGCGGCCGCTCTGGCCAGCACCGCTTTCGCGGCTCCTGCTGAAAAACGCCAAACCTCTCGCAAGATGAAGTGGTTCGGAATCAACGAGTCGGGTGCCGAATTTGGCGAGAAGAACTTCACGGGTGTCTACGGAAAAGAGTACACCTGGTACGATCTCAACACCATCGACAAGTTCATGGACGAGGGAATGAACATGTTCCGTTTGAACTTCCGTAAGTCATACCTCCGTAACCCACATCTTCCCAAAAGCCACGACCTAACACTCCCCAGTAATGGAGCGCCTAACCCCCAACTCCCTCACCGGCGCCTTCGACCCCCTCTACCTCGGCAACCTGACCGAGCAAGTAAACCACATAACCTCCAAAGGCTCCTACGCCATGATACAACCTCACAACTATGGCCGCTTCCTTGGGAACATCATCACCGATACCGCCGCCTTCAAAACCTGGTGGACCAACGTCGCCGCCGAATACAAAGACAACGACCTCGTCGTCTTCGACACAAACAACGAATACCACGACATGGACCAACAGCTCGTCTTCGACCTAAACCAAGCCGCCATCGACGGTGTCCGCGCTGCAGGCGCTACAAAACAATACATCACCCCCGAGGGCAACAGCTGGACCGGCGCATGGACATGGATCTCCTCCGGCAACGGCGCCAGCATGGTTAACCTGAAGGATCCAGAGAACAAACTCGTGTACCAAATGCACCAGTATCTCGATACCGATGGCTCTGGTACTTCGGCCACGTGTGTTAGCGCCACGATCTTCAAAGAGAGACTCCAGGCTGCGACCAAGTGGCTCAAGGATAACAAGAAACAGGGTGTTATTGGTGAGTTTGCGGGCGGGAATAACGCGCAGTGCATTTCTGCGTTGCAGGATGGACTGAAGTATATGGGAGAGAACAGCGATGTCTGGCTGGGAGGGATCTGGTGGGCAGCGGGACCGTGGTGGGCCGATTACATCTATAACATGGAGCCTACGACGGGAGTTGCTTGGACGGGAATCTTGCCCAAGATCAAGAGTTACTTTTTGTAGCTGGGGAGGGCTCGTGAGGTGAGGTAGAGGGTGATTGTATATACTTTGCTATTTTCTTCTTGTAGATATTTATATGAAGAAGCCTTCTTTCGCTACCGTCCCTGTTCACCTTGATGCACCTCGTCATATATCCAATAATCTCCATCTAAGGCTTCCCCTGCCAAGCCCTGCTTAAATACTCCTCCGCACTCATGAACTTGTACTCCGGGAACCGCTGGTTGAACTCATCACTAACATCCCAAGCCCCCCTCCTAATTGCCTCAAAGAACATGATGACAAAGGCCTTGCTGAAGCTCTCCCTCACATCGTCCGTAACAGTAGGATGGCTGATCAGCGGCAACCAACTCGCTTTCAGCTCTCCCTTTGCTAGATCCTCGCTCTTGACATACTCGACGAGCCAGTCTCCGCTTCTGATCTTCTTGCCTAGAGCCAACATTTCGCTGATGGAAGTGCGGCAACCTCTGATACCACCGATCTTCGGCCATGGACGCGTGTCATCTAGCGCGCGAGCGAGAATCTCACAGTCGTCTTGGATGGCGGTGATGACGATGGGTTGGCTTCCATCATCTAGAACCATGGCACGTCGGTTCTCAAAGTCGAGGAAGAAAGGCCAGGTGTAGAGATCGCGTTCGAGCGGGTATGGATGGGCGAAGTAGTCCATGAAGATGGAGGGTTGGAAGAGGCAGTATTGCATCGTTCCTAGTTCACCCTTGGCGTCTAGGTCTTCAAGGTACTTCCGGATGTAGTCTTTGTTGTCGTAGCTGGGGACGCCGGCGTAGTTCGCGATGCCCCATTCGCTGGGTGCGAAGCGGGAGACGCCTGCTGCGATGGCGGCGTGGATTAGGTTCTTCTGGGCGACGTTGTCGGTATCGAGGTGGACGACGAAGAAGGATAGGAGGGTGTGGAAGCCCTGGAGAGCTGTGGTGAGACCATTGAGGTCGGTGTAGTCGACTTGCTTGTAGGTGACTTTGGGGGATGGGTGGGATTTAGTTGGCGCAGATCGCGTGAAGATGGTGATTTCGTGCTTGCCAGAGGCGATTGTTGCTTTGAGCAAGTTGGTTGCGACGTCTTTGGACAGCGTTAGTAAGGTACGGTATGCTCATACTTCTAGCAATAGAGGAGTGCCATCTGGTGTCTCGATAGAGGCGGGGTAAGCATATGTAGAAGGGGAGGAAGCATACTTCCGGTGCCGCCTGCGACTGCGATCTTGACCATGATTGCACGTGATTCTATATCGCTCTCTTGATGTCGAAGGATTCAACTGCAAGCGCTATGGATTACATGCTCCCTGCTTTTGTATCTCCAACGGCCGCTATCTATCGCTCCGCTCTGAGCCCCCGCAATTTTTCGCTGCGAAGGCGTGTCTTCGGCGGATGACGGCATGGTTCTGACTCGTGTGACCAAAACTCCAAGTTCTGAGGCTACGATCTCGGCAATCGCGATGTCATTGATGTTTGAGTATTTTTTGTGATGCTCGACGCATACCGATTGCATGAGAAGTTGTGACTGGGCTGAGCGCTCTTTACCAATGTTGGTGCGAACTCATGCGAGCTGCCACCAGAGCGCGATGCTGCACGACCCAACGTATTGTGTTGCTTGGTAAACGTTGACTGTTGATCTTGGTTGACTTCAAAATGCACAGTGCGACGAATCGAAACGCCTTTGTGAAGTACTGCGAGACGATAGATTGGCCCTCCAGGTTTGAGAATGAGAATGTAGATAAGTTTGGAAAAACGGGAGAAGTGACAAAGACCGTGAATGGTGAATAGATGGATATCCGTAAGTAAATGTCAAATAAATGGCAGCGAAACATCGAAATGCTCAAGCATCGATCAACGGTACCGCCGGCAAAGGTTTCTCAGGCAGTGGTTTACTCGGCAGCGGCTTCAACGCATCCTCATACGCTGGTGGTCTCGAGGAGCTGCCTTCATCCGGATCATCGCGGTACGCGCCGTGAGCATTCAGCAGTGCCCCCTCCTCTTCAGCCACCCTATCTCTCCTCATGTTCTCCCAGACATCTTCCATGCCATCCCACTTCATGAGCTCGCGCTGCGCAACGATCCACCAGTACATCTTCCATAAGAGAAAGATGGTGAATAGGCCGCCAACGACGCTGCTGAAGATGACCCAGAACAAGCCCCACCATTCCCAGTGAACAAATTCGCCGAACATGTCGCGAAGCGTTCCTTTCTTGCCGTAGTATCCCCATTCTTCTTTGCGGTAGAGGAAGCGACTCCCCTCTAGTTCCCAGACGTCGCTGCCAAGGAAGTGGCCTATTGTGCCCCAAATCGTCAAAGACTTCTTGAGAGGAAAGGTGTAGGCTCGAGCTACTAGGCGCACATCGACGATTTGGTACTCGTAGATCTGGTCGTCCGTGGTAGATTGACCGAACGGGTCGGCGACCTTGGCTGGCCCTCCTTTGTCTCCTCTTTTCAGAGGAGTTCCTTTGACGCGCATCCACAGCATCTTCTGCTCTGGGTTGTTGAACCTCCAAAGAGGGTCGTCAGGGTACCGCGACTTCCCAATCACGTCAAGCGCAACGCTCCAGTACTCTGCATGCGCATCATCGCCTTCTTGATTATCGCTCGGGTTCGTGATGTATAAATAATCGATATACATGCGCGGGGCCTGTGTCAAAGGTACTTCGTGGCACCATCGTCCTCTGTCACTCCAGCTTTCTCGACAATACGGGTCTTCGGAGTTTAGGCCCCAGTGCAGTTCCGCATGGGAGAGGTTCTGGCGATATCGTGTAACGAGGAAGGTGGATGGTGTGGGTATGGTCGGTAAGGGATATAGCGGGCGATCGTTGAGGAGGACTGTGCGATTATCGTGCGTGAGGGTTACGTTGAGAAGCTATAGCGCTCAGGCTGGTTAGCACCGCTCTTTAGGCACATGCTGGACTTAGGCTCGACATTTATACATACAAGCACATGATCACTGGTTATAACCTCATGATCTTCAGGGTCCTCATAAGGGCAGTCCTTGCATTCTATCTTCGTGATGTAGGACGATCCGGGTACCACGGCTGCGACCGGTGCAATGGGCGCCTCGCACCCTTCAGGCACTTTGCCTCTTCCATCCAGGTCGCAGTCGAGTACTTCGGGAATATCTGCAGCATGGGCCGAAGACAGAAGGCCGGCCAGCAGCGCGATACCGGACAGCAGCATGGTGGGCTGGTGGTGGAATGATCGAGGGCAGGTGCCTGGCGCTCGTCGCTGCCGCCGCTGTCAGGGGCGTAGCGTGGCGGAGCCTTGCAGGGGTGTCGCGCGATTAGCCGGCGATCATGAGGCACGAACGCTGGTTCCCCCGCCAAACTTCTCTGCCACCTCCGACATGCCGCATCGGAGGATATTGATGTTGACGTCGATGCCATCATTATGTCCCCATGTCCCATGGAGCGTAAAAATACCACTGAGGTCTGTTGCTGACGCGACTATGCCCTGCCACAGGAAGCCTACTCGAGCGAGCCATTGACATCCCACCTCTGTAGAACGAATCCTTCCTCTATGTCCAGCGGTTGCTATCTTCTGCTCACATCAAGCGTGGTTGCTACAAGCGCTGTCTTCTTCGCGGCGGTTCCTTTCTATTTGCTATCAAACCATGTCGAACATATGTCTACTCAATGGTATCCTCTCTGCTCCTCCCTTCTTCTTCCACCGCGATCATGGCGCAGCTTTCCTGTGAGCGACGTAGTGGGAACATCATTAGAGTCGACGATCACCTGGAGATTGAATTCCACCGGACATCTATCGATCCCAACCGAAATCTGGCCGATCTGCTTCCTGACGACGGTATATTTCCTCTGCATTTTCTGCAAAGAGATAGCAATCGGCAGCAGTTTGATGAGGCGAAATGTAGGGGGCTTTATCTACATATGCAGCGTGAGTCATATATCAGCAACTTTACCCGCTGAGCTAACCATGGGGCAACTGCAGAGAGTGAAGCCATGTGGATCAAGTTTGACGCAGACAGACTGTACGTGATCCGTATCTACGTCGACAATGTGAACGTGGTGACAGGCCAAACCTCGCAAGTACAAGGCCAGCAAGATTATGTCATCGTGCCCGATCAGGCCTTCCTCAATGGATACAAATCCAACATCAATGCGTTAACAACACAGTTTCGCCGTCCACGGTATGCGGCCAATTATACACAGCAAGACGCCCAGACCATACGCTTCGAGGTAACGCCATCTACGAACACTAACGTACTAACAGTAATCGATGTGGGTGTTGAGGGTGAAGAACTTTGCCAAGCTGTGGTGACGTTACCCAGCATGACTGTCAGGGACTTCACGAGGAAGTACGAGCTTCAATTCGAAGACGGTACTGTTATCTCGGCTAGACTTACCAGTCAAGGAGAACAGGTCGACGGTATGAAGAGCGATCACGTGATGTAACACAAGCTGACTTAATCGTAGACACTTTGTCATTTGCTGATTGCGAGAATCTTGATGTACGTCTTAACGTCTCTTCACAACGAAGATCACGCTAAATGTCATTCATAGAACTACACAGTAGTACCGGATCACCGCGGCGGACGCCTACGCTCCCGACTGCTCAAGCTCGACACTTATCCATCTATCGGATGGGAGCCACATCGCACAACCATCTTCAATGTTCGCATGCTCAATTCGAAAGCAGCTTGCGACCTATTTGGTGCGCCCAGATTTGAAGAGACTGACAAAGAAGAAGAAGAATTGCATGGAATCAATGGCGTTCTCGTGAAATTCGACCCCGAACCAGCATCAACAAGACCTTTGGTACCGTTTCGTCGAGTACCGCGACCCCTCGAGATCTATTGAGCTGCGCATGATACTATTTCCTGATACAACGCGGAAGACGGACGAAGCGGTCGAATTACCACGGCAAACGCCAAAGGCTGGGGGCTGGAAATTGACGAAAGGCTCTTGTCTTGTCTCGTATGTGGATATCTGATGTGAGTTGGTAATGTTGCATTAATTGAGTAGCCTAAGATCTTTCCACACAACCTGCAAAGTGCGTTACGACTTCTGCGTGGCGATCGCGAATTCACGCATTAGATCTCAGCCACTCCTTCGTCTCCGTATTTTGCGTTCTCGACCCTGCTGCCTTTCAAGATTGCGGTCCGTACCGGCGTCGCTCGTGTAGTTATCGGCGTTGTTCCTGGGATTCCTGTAGAGCCGGCGGCTCAGACGCTTAGCTACACCATGCTAGTCGAGATAACGGAACTGTGGGCGAAGTCCCTTGATGCGAAAGGCGCACGCGACAGATCAGTCGCGTCGAGTCGTGAAGTGGTTGGCTGTCATTTCGAGTTGCTGGACCCTATGACGTCACACATGAGATCACCACGCGTAACACACGACCTCGGTCCATGAATAGGTTTAACAACCCAACAACCTCACAACTCAAACACTTACACCACCAACTTCAAACTATCTCCCGTTACAAATTCATCAACTCATCAAACCATACAACCCAAACCACATACCCAACCCACCAACCACCGCCACCATGTCCAGTTCAACCTTCCAATCCTTCTCCACATCCTCATCCAGCACTACCATCAACGGCCAAACAACCTCAAAGTCTGAACACACCTTCACAGACCCCAGCGGCACCCGTGTCGAGCGTACCCATCAAGCTCCAGGTGAAGCGCCGCGCGTTGAGCGCTTCGAAACGGATTCTTCGGGAAAACAGCTGGAAGATCACAGACATGCAGATGCGAAGCGGATCCAGGATGTGACGGAGGAGGAAGACGCTAAGAGCAAGGAGAGGGAGTATGAGGAGAGGATGCAGGATGAGTATGCTAAGAGGGAGGGGGGTGCTTGAGTGAAAGTCATATTGTGGACATAGTCAGTTTTAGTAGAGATATATCACGTCAAATACGCACATCACAAAAGAGGTTTGCAGAATACAATGTGAGCGAGAAGACGCCACCGGCAAAGAAGCAGGCAGCCAAGAGACTCCATTCAACTATATACGCGGCCAGAGCGCGCCGAGAACCCACCCAAGAGACCACAACCCCAGCCCAAACACCCCAAACCCAAGCCCACAGCCCACCCAGGAGGCCACAACGCGCCAGTCATATCGTCGTCGTCGTCCGCCGCCGCCACGTCGTCCTCAGTTGTGTTGGAGGGCTCGCCAGCGGTACTGGTCGGCCAGCGAGAGGGAGGCGAAGAAGTTGTGGAGCGCCATGCCCCGGATCCCGTGCAACTCCCACTGGGTAAAGACCCGAGGGGGCGGAGGGGGCGGGGGAGGCGGTGGCGGAGGCGGAGGGGGCGGAGGAGGGAAGCCACCTGCTGGGCGAGGCGGCGCCGGCGGGACGTATCCGTCCGGCAACGGTCCGTTGACCGCGAAGGCGGCGTTAGCGGGGGGAGGGACTTCCTCTCCGTCGACCTCAGGCCCAACTTGTGCAAAGCAACGCCACATGGTGACGTATTTGCCGGTGATGTTCCGGACTTGGTGGTGTAGGATGGTGGGAGGTTGCCAAAAGGTGTTGGTGTTGGTGTTGTTGTTGGTGTTGAGGGAGGAGGGAAGAGACTTTTCAGAATTGTAAACAATTCTGTAACTGGGCAGATTGATGTGGTTGCCGAAGAGCAGAAGAGGGATCCCAAAAGTCGCTTGTTTATATAGTCGGCTCCCTGAGGCCCCAGCTCCCGCGCCAAGACGAGAGCGACGGTGACCTGTACTCGACGACGACCCTTTATTGAGACCCAGTAAGGGGATACTATTGTTCAATGACCATGTAGCAACCAGGTCAGGCAATTGCAAGCTTTTCCGGGGCGTGTAGCACCTCTATTGTCTGCGTGAAGTATTGTTGACCATTTGGGTGACCCACTAGCGCCGGGATTCTGCTGGGGTTGTGTGGCTCCTATTGACGGCGAGGGTAGGCGGGGTATGACGAGAGACCACCGAAGGTCATTGGTATTGTCGACGTAGCATCCCAAGAACGTATACTGATCAGCCCTGTCCGGGATATCTTGCACTGACAGCAAACTTACGAATCTCCGACGGCGGCCTAATGGGACAACGTCCAGTTCCAGACTGTCCAAACTACGGCCTACATCGTACCGAAGCCGGCACAAGAAAGCCACGATGGGTACAAGGCAAAGCGATAGGCGAGCAGGTGGGAGGCCAGGGGGATACGCGGTTCCTGACATACGTAGACGGAGGCGGCAGGAAAGGCGAGGACGCCTTGAGCAAGCATGGAAGTAGGGCAGCGGCGGCAGGACGATGAGCCAAGGGGATACGATGAGCCCACGTAGGATCCTCTTGAGACAATGACCAGCATGTATCTAGCATGTAGCAGCCGTAGGCAATCAGAGCGGCCAATCGCATGTCTTGAACACTTGATGCTTGATCTCCATGCTCGACCTTCGTGCTTGACATCTCATGAGACGATCCCTGATGTCTATAGTGCAAGCTACTCAGGAGCGCGTTGCATACAATTTTACAGTGTTCTAGAGCTGGACGCAGGCATGCTGTCCCAATGGGCGTTGTTTAGACGTGGCCGGATCGTAGAAGTCTTCCTCTAGCCGCTCCGCCGAAGGACAGTATGGTCTAGATTGAAGGCTTTCTTTGGCAGTGCAAGGCGCGACACCCAGCTGTGCTTGGGTGCATGCTGGAATTTGGCCTCCTCGTGCTCGACGAGTCTTCCGCTATCCTATGCTTGACGCGTCTCCTCAACTTTGAGGAAGGGCGGGCTGCATCGTGGTGGGGCTGATATCGTGCTTCGTCTCGCTCCGCCGACCGCCGCCTCAGCTTCACCACACACACGACCACAACGCCATCATAGGAGTGCGGCTACTCGCCAAACCTTGACCATAGCCCTTTCAAGCGCGAAAAGCTCTACTGCAATGGCCTTATCGAAAGGCATCATGCCCCGCGACAGCAGGCTCGTCCAAGATTCTTTCACGGCAACAACCCACGAATTTGCGCCACGAGCCCCTCGACCCCCAGGCCAACGAGAGAGGCTTAGTACGAGCATCTCCGGCATTAGGGCATCGTCGATGATAGGCAGAATCGCGCGACGTCTCTTCGAAGGCGTGGCTAAGATCCCCTCACCCCTGACGGAAAGCTCACTCACCCCAGGGCGAAGGCCGCCGACGGAACGGCAAGCTACCGCGCGACCTTTACTGATTCTCGACAGACAAACGGTTTCCTGACAACGAGCAGTAGCGATACGATACGCCCATGTGCGGCTTGCTCACTTCCGGGGTGGCGGGCTCCTCCGCGGCGTTGAGAATGAGCTTGCAAACTTTCGCTGTCCCGAGACAGCGACTTGACACAGCAGGTTTGAAGCCCATGCTGGAGATCCAAGAGCGACTGACAAAGGATATAGTAATCTAGGACAAACTTCGGGCACCCCTTACGACCATTTCGAACCGCCGTCCTCCTCGCGCACGACATCCCACGAAGCCGCAGAGCGCCTCCGCTCCGACCGATACCGCCGATGTGCCTTGATCACAGGCCAAAAGAAAGGCTTGAATGAGCTGCATACCGAATGCGAGAGCGGCAACGGGCCAGACAACAGCGAGATAGAAGAGGCACCCCTTGGATGAAGGGCAGCTCGACGAAACGGCGGCGAAGGCTCCATACGCGACGGATACCGGCGATGAGCCACAGCGACATTCGAGCGGCATATCTGCTACTCCCGCATGCACACTATAACCGGGGATTGCGATCAACGAATCGCGACCGGTTTGCTCGAATGGCGCGTGGCACACCATCGACAACGGACAGCCTCAAGCTTGAGACGCCCAGCAGCACACAACGAAGGCACGAGCCTCAGGACGTTGGGATACGAGAACGCGCACAAGACAGCGCGATTTGTCCCTCGTAAAGCTCACACGGCGAAACAAGGCGATCCTCTCTACCCATCCTCAGTGGCCAAGCATCAAGCCGTCCGTGCTGAGAGCCTTCGGCCAATGAGCCGCATAATCGACGCGACATCTGGAACGATGGACAGCGTCGGAACGTGTTCATCATAAGACGAGCCAGCCCAGACAGGCACGTTCGACGACAGGCATAGCGAAGCCGGCCATACTCTCGTCGGGTGGTCAAGATCCGGCTTTCGGAGGCGATGTCTTGAGGCTGAATGTCCTCATGAGCTCGGAGCGGCGATGAGAATAGCATCCGGGTTGCGCATATCCATGGCTAAAATATGCCTGAGCATGCCGCTATGAGATGCGAGCAGAATGCGCAGCGTCGCGCGGTTCGTAAGACGTCTTCCACGGCATGCGAAGCCCTCACGACGGAATTCTGAAGGCCATGGCGCACAGCTTTCCACGTTGCATGCCGCGCCAGTATTTCCCTAGCTCTTTCTGTCGCCAGCGAGATGAACGATGATACACCGGTTTTACGGGACGAAGGAAGATGACTTGGCGAGCTTCTCGATGAAGTTTGCGGAGAAGGGGCGAAGACGTGCGGTCGGAAGTCCGGGAAGGACGACGCGCGGAAGCGAGTGTGGGTCGCCATCTTCCGCCCAGCCACCGTCGACGTGCAGCCGCAGACCATCCCTTGCCATCTTCACGGGCGATCTGGCATCTCCAGAATGCTTCGCCACTATCGCTATCGACAATGAGTATGTTCTGGTATGGGCCAGAGCAGGCAAACGTCAGCAAACATCCGATGATGAAGAGGGGGGTTACATACCGCTGCGAGTGACGCAACAATCATCCGCTCACGACGCGATGCATGAGGCCCGCGGGGCTAACGAAGACATGTGGTTTATTGGAGATAGATTGGAGAACTTCATGCGCATTTGAACCTCAACTCGAAACCAAGACGTCGCTCATATCCCATCGCCAAATCCGTTTCCACAAGCCGCCACAAACTTCCAACACACCGCGCCGGGGGTTCCGACGACTTCCACCACCCTTTAGCATTCATACACTGTGACCCTTCGCGTTCGGCCTCTTGCTATTTCCCACAAGTCGGACTGGTAATGTGGCTCTTCGATCCATCTCTTCCGCGCGGTTGATTTGGGGTTGTCTCTAGCATGATCGCCGCTGACCATCGCGTTGTAGATGCGCTCTACGTTGCGGTTGCGATCGCGTTGTAGATGCGCTCTACGTTTCGGTTGCGATCGCGTTCGAACCAGCTCGATAGTCGGGTCAGTGGCAGGATACCTCCTGGTTCTGATCCTTACATCTGGAATATCCTTCCGCTTGGAATACGCCTTAGGTGCGTTGACGAACATGCGGATCTGCCACGCCGAGCACATGACGTTCTCGCAGATGCACTTCTCTTGTGCGAGGGCGGTGACGATGTCCTGTCGGCCAGGAAGCCGAGGTCTTTGTCCTTTTCCTGGATGGTGTCGACATGGACGACGTTGCAGGGTTCACCGATCCAACCCCCTAGAGATGAGGTCGACCTGGTTCTTGATGTCCTCATAGTCGTCGTTGGTGAACTCCCACACAGCGTGCTCGGGGTTCGCGTCGATGAACATTGACAAGAACATCTGGCCTTCGTACGGTTGGATATCGCGGATGTCCTTGGCCATGGAGCGCGCGAGGTCGTCCATAGTGGCGTAATGGGTGGCGAAACCCGGTCCTCGTCCTCGTCGGATCCTTCTTTCTTCCACGGCCGGCCAGCCTCACAACATACAACTACTTGCGCTGACGTTTGTTTGCTGCATTGTGAGGCTGGCCTTTTCGTTTCTTTTCGACACAGCGTTGGGAGCGGCGCCGCAGAGGTGCCATGCGAACCCAACACAGAACACTCCATACGGCGCTCAGTACCGAGCCCGACGGCAGTATTCTGCATCAGGTCGCAGGCGACCTGAGGCGCCAACCACCCACCGGGGGACCCGATGGGTGTGAAGGCGGCTTACACCGGCCGAAGCCTAGCAAAGTTAGCTCATGTCTTATCTGCGGTTTGGATAGGATGTTGTTTGGACGTACCGCTGCGGTGCCATGCTAGAATGTTCCGTGGATGGCATAGGCGCGAGCGATCCTCCCATAACGAACACATTCGTCCCACGAGTCTACGAATGCGAACTCGAGGTTCTTGGGTCCAATGTGTTCGTTGTAGAAGTTGCTCAAGCGCTCTACGACACCCACGGATGGAACCGGCGTTGCGGACTTGGTCCCATGTGAGGGTTGCCACAGTCTCCGTCACCGCGCCGAATATTGTCAGCGTCTTACGATTTCCCACGAAGACCAAGGCTAGAAGCTTTTACGAACGAACAACTCTGCGCAACGAGTTCAATGCCGATGGTGGATAGGGCCCCGACCTCGCCCATATCCAGTCGCCCCCAACCGAATAACTTGGGACGTCCTTGATGATACTCGGCGTTCGTAACTTTGAAGGCTTCATTAGACTATGCTTGTCAGTAGCTGGACGAGAGTATGCGAAAAGTACTCACGAGTGGCTTCTTCCGCGCCTTGCGCTTCTTCTTGCCGGAGGGACTCTGATCTCCAAGTCGGCAACAACAGCTGCACATGCGCGGCTCGCACCGCAGCGGAGACAGGCGGTGTTCTTCGCGAAGTTGTGGTAGCTGCCGTCTCTCTCTTTACACGACCAGGGCGATGGTATCATTCCCCGTCCAAGCATCGAAGCCTGCGTATCAACCTCCATCCCGTATCCTACTCGTGTCCAAAGCTATACGTCGATCCTTGGCTTTGACAGGTGGTTACTCTGAATCGCTGTCAGGAATATTGCCACGGCCAGACTTCTTGAAGCGCGGCTTGTCCTCGGCAAGCAGAAGCACTTGATCGCGTCCGTCGTATCTCTGGCCGCCGAATTTCCAGGCCACCAACTTCTCTGCGTCCTACATGATGCAGGAAGCGTTCGCGGAGGTCATCAGGGCAGCTGCATGGCGTGTTGTCGGTGCGCCAACCCCATTAGGGGAAGGCGACTTACTGCTTGCAGGTCCAGAACGCAATTGGACGTCCGCCGAATTGAGTGAACCAGCTCTCTAGTTCTGATTGGGTAGTGTCGTGGGCGAGGCCGCTCGTGTGCAGAACCTTGCTTCGCTCTGACAAGAAAGCGCGAACGTCGGCGCGAGCGTCCATCGGCTTGGTCAAGACGTCGGGGTGGTCTTGTCGTACCACAGCCGTTCTCTCCGCACTTCCAGTCTCCAGCCCTAAAGGGCACAGCGCCGGTGCCACCGCGCATATGTCCACCACCCATTCCGTGGCCGTGGCCATGACCCATGTGGTGTTGAGGGGGACCCAGCCCCAAAGGGTACAGCGCCGGTGCCTCCACGCATATGTCCGCCACCCATGCCGTGGTCGTTTCCGGTGTGACGACCCGCCAACACGAGTTCTCTTCTGGTATCGAACTTCTTGATGGGGTGTTCTCGTGTTGACGGGCTTCACGAGGACCGACTCGCGATGCAGCTGTTGTTGAGTTAGCGCTTGAGGTCGGCATTGGATTGGACAGACGTACCTCTTCGCACGACTTTGCCGTTGAACTTGCCCTCCTCGTCTTTGTACATATTGATTCGAGGCTGAGGAGGGCAAGTCCTTTTCTGAGGAACATCACAAAGAGGTTCGGCACAGGCTTTCTTGTTCGGCTGCATCATGTCAGCGAGTGGTCTAGAAGACTAAGACGGTACTAACCTCAGGCTCTTTCTCAGCCTTTCGCTTCTTGTTGGTCTGCGGCTCTGGTGGTGCAGTCGGATTCTGAACCCGTACTTGCTCTACATAACCTGTTAGCATTGAGTGGACTAATGGCGAACGAGGGGTCAACATACCAGCGCCATGCTGAAGGATGGGGTATGTCGAAATAGCGCCATATTGTCGCACTCAACATTTGCGAACGGCCTCAGGGAGCTTGACATTGGCGTGCGGCGCCTGGTGCAGCTGCCCTCTCCGTGCGACGGCAAAGAATTGGTGGTAGATGTCCATGCGGTCGTTCTCGGGCTCGTCGCACGGGTACATGTAGAGGCCTCTCCGGAAGCCATGATACCAGCGGCCGTTTTCCATGTAGTTGCTGGTTTGGGTCGTTCTGACTGGCAGTGCTCCATGGCCCAGTAGAGGGGATCGTTGGGGTCGAAGTCGCTCACGCCCTGGAGGTTGAGAGATTCGGGCCATGCATGTTAGCCATGGTATCTCGAAGGTAGGCTGCGGGTGCCCTTCGTTCTTGCTCAGGCGCGGGACCACATGCACCGCACCCCGAAGACGTTCACCGTTCTTGCTGAGGTCCACGATGCGGGCATGCTTCTCCTTGAGCTGGGTTAGTAAGTTCTAGTGCGGAGATTGCTAACAGAGCACATACCTTGAGCGGCGCCCGACATGATGTCTTGGAGGTGAAGTCGAAGTAGTTCTCTTCGTAGAAAACTTGGAGAGCGACTGCCTGGAATTGGCGAGAGACGAACTACTCCGACTCCACCTCATAGCGAAGCGTGTGGCGTTGATGAGCCGCCCGTTCATGCAGAGCGATTCCGCAGCCTATTCAATATTAGTAAAAGCGGGTATATTGCTAATGCGGTACATACCTCTTCTTGGGACGAGAAGATGGCAAACCCAGTTCCGGTGGGCTTGTGCTGGTCAGGGGTGCGGGCGGCGTTTTAGTAATGACCAAAGCCGAGACTGAATAGTATGTTAGTATGCAAGAGATGGAGCAAGGTTATAAAAGAAGAGTCAAAAGAGTACTGGAGGGGAGAGAGCAAGACGTTGCCAAAGGCGGGGTTGAAGGCGCCTCGCAGCGACTTGGGGCAGGATGGGTATATCGCGCGATCCACAGTACAGAGCGCGAAGAGAGTACAGCGCTCAAGCAGGCAAGCAGTGTGAGTATGACTTACCAGGTACGTCGTCATCGAGGAGGTGGCGCACAAGCGTGCATGAGTGCACGTATCAGGCTCGAAAAAGCCTTGCGTTCGCCCGCCGGCGCTGATGATATTGTCAGAGAGTGCACGAAGAGACTTAGAGCGGAGCGAAGGATTGACTTACGTATCGTGGGGCAGGCCGCTCATGTGGAGCACTTTGCTGCGCTCCGACAGGAAGCCACAAGGGCGCTGTCGAGCTCAAAAGTTTGCATATAGCTTTGGTGGTGGGTGGTTGAAGAGTTGGAGGGGGAGGTCGGTGGACGAGCTTATATGGCAGCCCTGGCCAGGCTGCCAGGCTCGCAGCTAAGGCTCGCGGCCTCACGCTCACCACCACTTGGCATCAATGGATGCTCCAGATGCCCCTGACGTCGTATCAACACCAGGAAAGTTGGAGGAGCTTGCGACGGGCTTCGCGGTGCTTGTCGTACTGCCCTTCAGACTCTGGGGAGGAGGGGTGTTAAGGTATAGACAGGCTTGAGGGGAGACTCAATAACCTGGACCCTGAGCTTTCAGATAGCACTAGGGGTGAAGCAGAGGAGCAGTTGCGACCGTGCGCGGTGGCGGAGGCTCACCCCAAGGGTGTAAATGGGGGAGTGCAACTCCACCACGTCGAGAAAGAAACACCAGAAAAGTTCGAGGAGGATATCGTGAGCTCTGCGCTGCTTTTGGCACTCCCCAGATATTTTTTGGTCTGGTGGTGGTGGAGATACAGTGTGGAGGGAGTGGGTTGCCCGAGAGCCCTCCGCAAAAACCAGCTGAGGGAGCAAAGGAACACCAAACTTTTCGCTGGGAGCTTCACATGGGGGAGCTGGCAGCTTCATGCAACACGGCAGCAGATGTCTATGAGGGTCGACAGAACACAGCAGCGAAGCCTTGAACCGTACCTTTCTCCTGACACTTTTCTGGGCAGAATTGACAAAGTGGTTGTGGAACCGCAGCTCGGACACGGAGGAACCCTCGAGACTTGGGGGCAAATCACTGCCTTGCGGCTTTGAGAACATCGAGTTCGCCGCGGAGGTGGCGGGCAGTGCAACACCAAGACCACCACAGCGCGCGTCACGCCTATGAGCAGCTACCGAACATCGAACGCCCCCGGGCTTGCCTACACCAATACCTATTCCCTCCGACTTCCCTGGGCCAGATTGCTTATGCTACTGCAGAGCTACTGCCTCGAGAACGCGAACAGCCCACGACGATCCACCGCGGACCCAGCCCACCGGAGAGCCCGAGCCCGCAGTCGACAGTAGAGCCTCGGATCAGCTACATCCTGCGGCGCATATTGAATGCCCGGCAGCATGCCAATTCCACTCCATCTTGTGGGACACATGTCAGCCGCTGAGGGTCCAGGGTTCTGTACAGGCAGACATGAAGACGGCGAACGGCTTTGGGTATACGGAGAGGACCATACCAGGATGGCCAGGGTACTACAATGTAGAGCTGAGATACCATGCGGCTTTCGCAAGCCAGAGTTCACGAACTCAGACAGTAGAGGCTTCAACAGGTAGCATACGTGGATGGGTCAAAACGTCTACGTAGATGTCACACGAGCACGAACAGGATCAGCTATCACAATGTATGCGTCGAGGATACTGCAGGGCTATGCATACTTCTACAAAGATCGAGTACCGAGTCAGCGAATGCATTCCTCATGGGGCTGTTGACGAGGGTAGCAAGGAGGCCACATTCCAAGTCTGACGAGCAAAGTACGGATGCCATGACCGTCAGGGCTATACATGGGAATACTGGAGGTGGCATGCAAGGCCGATATGTCTACTAGAGGCGACATGACCTTGGGGGTGTCATGGTTGCTATTGGTAAAACCCTTTGTCTACGACAGGCATCCTCGTGGTCGTTACAAGAGACTTTACTTGAACCAATGTGGTCTTAATCTACTGAGTGAGATCATCGTCTTTCAGATGCATTCATTATGGTATCTCAGCACAACTACATATCCCCGCATCATCCGTACATGGTCAGGAAGACACGCGAGCTAGCCACCCGCCTACTCAAACTCAACTCCTTCCATCGCATCCTCCTCGGGCATCGCCCACAACTCCCTCTCCAACCAGTTCCTCACCAGAGAAGTCCCCACCGTCCCATCCTTCCAGTTCACCCTCCTCCAGCCCACCGGCGTCCCATCAAGGCCAACCGGCCACTTCTCCCAAACCTCCTCCAAATCCTCACCATCTACACTATACGTCCACCAGCCTCTCGCAGCAGCCCGATGACTTCCAGCCGGCTCCTCCTTCACCTGCTTCGTCTCACCATACAAGGATGTATACATCCAGTCTCCGCCCGGAGGGTGTCCGGCGGGAGGGCCACGGGTGTCGCGGAGGGCGCTCAGGCGAGCAATCTCGTCGTCGTAGAGACGCTTCAGAACGTGTTCGTTCTGAAGCGGGGTCAGAGAGGGGTGTGGGAGCGGCTTTTCGAGGTGGCCGATCCACAGGGGGCAGTCTGATCCCTTCTCGAACGTGAGGGTCGAGATGGCGTCGGCGATGTTGGCCTTGGCCTGGCTCATGTTAGTAATGATGGTACATGTGATCGGATGGACGGACTTACATCTTCTTCGACCACCTCAGGAGTGGGAGTCGACGTATCACCGACAGCAGGCTGTTTGCCCACGACAGGAGGGTCTTTCCGAATACGACCCGAGTCGGGGTCGTCGATGTCGCTCTCAGAAGGACTCAAGACGCTGTCAGAGTCGGAATCTGACTTGTCGCCGTAGCCCAGGAAGGCCCTGTTGAGATGACGTCTAGTCCAGACAGGGTCGCCGCCAGCGGACAAGATGCCCTGGTGACGACGTTGTCCGTCGATGACCCACTGCTGCTTCTTTGCCTCAGTCGCAGCCGCCTGCTCGAGCTTCTCTTGCTCTATCTTGGCTTCGCGGTCGAGGAGGAGATTCAACATGGCCCGTTCAACCGATGTCTCCCTGTTCTCCAGGCGAGCGGCGACGAGACGGTTGAACTCATCTAGTTCGCGCGTCTGTGGTGACTTCTGCGCTTCCTTGATGACTTGACCGGTCTGAAGAGGGGTTGAAGTTAGTGTCTGCTTCCTTTTGAGTTGGGGCAATGGTAACTTACGAAGCCGACGGGAATGGGCGTCTCCTCCGGCAGTGAAGAGTACGCGAGTGCATGGCGACGTGCGGGCGTGTTCTTGTCCTGGACAAGCCCCGCGTAGTAGGCCGCGATGTCGCGCTTGGCTTCGCCGATGGAGTTGGGCGCCCGGCGGGCTTCGCGCTTGGTGCGAGCCATTTTGAATGAATGGAGAGAGTGTATAGAAAGGTATTACACGTGTAAGAGGGAGGGGTATAGAGAAATGAGGTAGAGTTGTGTTGGTGGGGTGGGAATATCGGTGGTGTGTGGGCGATGAGGGAGTTTGTGCGTTTGTCGAGAAACTCTTTCAGTTTGGCGACCACAACGCCGCCTAGTTCTTCCGTCATCTGGTGTTTTGCTTTGGCTTTCACACGAACTCCGCCGGCAGGAGCTTCAACGTATGGGCTTTCGCGTCGAGCGGTCGCGCTCAGTCTCTGCTATCAGATTAGTGTGCTGCACAACGGCGACGAGAATATAGGAAGGCTTACTGTTGATGGAGCAGTTCATGAGTTTCCTGCTTTGGTCCATGTAGGAAGGCCTCCCTACGGTATTAATAGTAGAGAGACAGTGTTTGTAAGACGTGCTCGCATCCACGAGACCGCCGGTCCGTTTGCCATCTTCTATCAGGCGTGGTAGAGCATGTGAGCCCAGACAATGGAATGACGTTTGCCAGGCTGACGTGATCACTCAAATTGACGCACAAGGTGAGATAAACGGTAGACAAACAGAATATGATATGCATAGAGACATCAGGGGTATTATACAAGCGCTCATGGCGACATAAGAAATCCAACAACTCCGCGCTTCACATCATTCAACATCGTGATAAGAAAGGAAATCGATCCAGCCCGGTACGCCTCGATGATGGCTGGTACAGAGTATAGCGCATTAGGTGGACTTAGACATGGTCGTGTCTTCCGAGCAACTTGCCCTTCTTGCCGAGAGCCTTGGCCTCGCCCTGCTTGATCTTCGCGAGTCTCGCTCTGTATACTCATTAGCAACCACTCAACATCGTATCCATTGCCCACGGTAGTACTTACTCCTCAGCAGCCTCACGCTCCAAACGATGAACATGCTCCCGCGCCTCCCTCACAGCGTTCTTGGCGACAAAGAGCGCACGGTCAGCGTCCCTCTCCGCAGCCTCAGCAGTCATCAAACTCTGCTTAGCAGTCGCAATGCTAGGGTCTCCGGAACCACGGCTAAACATGCCGGATGTACGCTTAGGGGACGAGGTGTATGTCGTGGTGGTGCGGCTAGTGGAGCTGCTATGGCGCGAATCCCTGTACGAAGGGGAAGAAGAGCGACGCCTAGAGAACATGGAGTGTTTCTGAGGAGGAGCAGGAGGTGGGCTGGGCTCCCGCTTGGATCCGAAGAGAGGCATGTTGTTGGTTAGGTGTAGGAGTTATGAGAAGCTTCAAGATAATCGACAGGAGATCTGGACTGCGAGATGCGTGCTTGGCTAGACGTTGGAGATGATAAAATCTGGAGATTTAGAGTTGAAGATTCGGAACGCACATGCCGGGTCTTATATGTGAAGTCCTCCCTGTCATAGCGCTCCTTCGTCGTGTCTTCCCAGCTGTCTGTCAAGGTCGCGAAAGCAGGGTTCGGGAACCTGCATTGCGTGACGTCAATGCCCCAAAGCAGGGGGTGATCTGCGCCTCCAACATCACAGAAAGCAGCCGCATCGTCATCGCTAATCTACGAGATGAATTGGGGACCAGAAAAAACGGTCATCGCGAAACGTTCATCGCGATATTGTGAATTGATGCTTAGCGTGGTGTTGAAGTTTGTTGTGGGTCTGTGAGTACGCGTCCTGCGCCGGATCTGGTGCCGGAGGCACTTGGTGTACCGGACTTGAGGAAAGCTAGTGAGCTTAACGAGACTCCAACTTCAAGAAATCTGGTGCCGATTGAACCGAGGAAGACGAGAATAGTCTTCGGCATGCCTAATTTTCGGCGGTGCGACAGTTCATGTGCTCGTTGGCGGTAAGTGATAACAATGTATTCCAAGATTCTGTCTAACAAGGTCGGTGACCCCCACCGGCCTTCTACGCCATGCACATGCAACGTGTATACCAAAACGCCACCCAATGCTCGCTATATATATGATACAATATAGATCAACTACATTTGGCCCCTTCACTGTTACCCATCATCGTTTTGCTCGTCGTCTTAATGATGCTGATGACCATAACGATACCTCCAAATGCCGCAACAGCCCCAGCCAAGTACGTCTTCCAGCTTCTTTGGCTCAGCTTCATGTAGCAAAGAGGAGGCAGGATGAAGGCTAATGCGCATGCAGATGTTGCGCCGAACAACTCGAACACTATACCGAGATCGCAGGTAAGGAGGGAGAGTGTGAGGGCGGAGACGACGAGCGAGGTCGTGAAGATGAGATGGCGGTTCGGATGGTACGGCTCGTCTGGAAACCAATAGTTGGTCATGACTTCTCGACATACAAAGGCTTCGAGCGGAAGCGTAGTAAGCATGTTGAGGCCGAAACACAGTCGCGCAATATTGACCATGAGGTTATCATTCGGAAAGTTATTCAGCACGTTGCCGAGTGTCTTGTCTCCGAAGGTCAAGTAGCCTGTTAGAGCCATGACAAGACATGCTACCAAAGATATACTGGTGCTGTAGTGTGTAACGCGTGTAAATCGATCGATCGTAGGTTTGCGGAGGGAGCCGTAGATGAGGAGGCTGTTGTGGTGGCAGACGAAGGCGAAAGCGATTACGCCAATTGCTTCGAAGATGCCGGGGCGGATGATGAGGTTGCCACGAAGCTGGCCCTTCAATTCGGCGGGTACACGGAAGGCTTGCGTGACTACGGTCACTATGATGATGGTCATGCTGACCAGTGCTAGACCACTTGCTTTGGCCAGCTAGGAATTGTCAGCGTAAATATGAGGCGGAACCGCGGATTCCTTACCTTGGATATATCCCGATAGAGCGATAGTGGAAAGGATATGCCAAGAATGAGCAAGACCATGATAGCCCGTCTGTTAGTCAGTAGCCAGAGAAACGGCATGTCTGCTAAGGAAGGGAACATCGAATCCAAGACCCTCGGTATTGTATCTCCGACTACGACGCAGAACGCGACCATGCCACCAAAAGCGCTGTATGCTGTCAATACCCTTGCTTCCACATGTCGTAAGGTGAACGTACAAGAGCCATTGCGCGAGGGATATCGCTATCAACCCTGATTTGCCGAAGCAGTGTTGCACCGTGGCTTGAAACGAATCGGTGCCGCTGAGCTTGGAATTTATGACGATGAGTCGTATGGTCCAGTCTACCACGATGGTAAGGCCGATGAGGAGGGCGGTGCCTGTTACGAGGCCGGCGTTGCGAACAGCGTACGGTTGGCCGATGATACCAGCTCCTCTGTCTTACATTAGCTTGCTTTCTTGTATCCCTATCCGGCGGCATACATTATACTGTTTGCCATGTTCATGAACGCGCTCCGCATCCCGCTCCGTGGTCGCGCATTCTCGAGATGGTCTTCCGGATTGAAGGATTCTTCGGCAACTGTGACGCTTGGCGCCTCGATTCCAGTAAGCAGAGGAAGTCGCTGCGTTCTTTCTCGCCCATCGCTGCCATCCAAGTAGTCGTCTCCATCCAGCTCGAGCCAGTCGCCGCCGCCGTTATCCCCATTCATGCTCCTCCTGGGTTCCTCGAAGCGCACCCGATTGGGCGTTCTCGGTGCGCCATCGGGCCGGGCTTGTGCGAACGACGACTGCCGCTTAATGTTGCCATTTGGGCGTGACCCGGGTGGTGCTGGAGACGCGGAGGTGGTTCGCGATGACGAGGGCGATGGAGACAGGTGTCGCGGACTTGGTTTGCGCTCGTGTTCGGGTTCTGAGTCGCTGTCGGAAGGATGCTCATGCAGGAGCTTCTGGCTTTCGCTCATCGTGGCATTGTCGAAGTTCAGGGAGGTTTGCAGCTCGAATGATCGTCGACATGTCACTCCCGACTTCTGACATCGGACATTGGACCCCTGTTCCGCCACTAGGTCGTATGTGGCCTAGTGCTTATCGTCACTTCCGGCGAGAATTGTGGGGTGGATTTGGCTGAGCAATAGAACATCCTCCTTGTACGTGTTCGATCATTCGCATTGCCCTACATATGCTACCTATGTTTGAGTTCGCTCAAGCTCAAGCCTCCGATTGTCCCCGATGCATCTGTTATGAGATCCTTCAATGCTACTCTCAGGTTACATGGATGTTTCGCGCGAGGTAAATGGTACCATTCCGGCGAGTTCATACTATGCACCTGACCGCAAAGTGTGCTGAAGCTCATATCGCGGAACGGGACCTCAAGTCGAGGCTGATCAAGACTCAGACGGCTTAATTCCTTCATCAGACTGCCGAGAAGAAAGGAGCTACATAGAAAGGAGATGTGAGAATCGTCCGTGTACGGGCAAGTATAATCTGTCTGACGATATATCTCAAGACGCTTGTAGACGCCCTCAAGGAGAGACTCAATTGCCAGGCGCCGTCTCGAGTCGATTTCATCTGTCGTGTGTAAGGACATGCCCAGGTATCTGACTATGGCGATTTGTAAATCAACATACCTGATACTCTGGCAGGAATAGGGAGATCCAACGTCGGGAAGGATTCAGTTATCTGCCTAATGGATGTGGCCGTGGTGTTCCTGAATTGCTGTTCCATATCAAACACCCATGCAACCCAGATCCACAATACCAGATCTCTACCGTGCATTTGATGTATAGGTATAGGTGTCTTTGTAAGCTCCTGGATCCACATCTCAGTAAACGTCTCGAGAGTCTCCCCGAAGTTGTAGTAGTCCTCAAGCACAGCAATTTTGGCGAGCATTTCCAATGACTGCTTTCGTGGAATCAGCTTATTGCGACCATGAACGATTCGCAAAACAACAAGAAAGGCTTCGGCATCCCAATCGTGAGCGGTTATGTGGTAAAGGCCATCGGCTTCGTTGCGAACAGACTCGGCGAACCCGTCCTGTGCTAACATTCGCTTGAATGTGGCCGACGCAAGTATCAGGTGGCGTGATGACACATGGTAATGGATTGACTCCTCTTCAGGCTCTTCCGGTAAGATCGGTGACGGCGTATACTGCACACCAGAAGACGGCTCTGCAAGCGCGGTGGAGCCTTCATCCAAGGTATACATGCTGCTATCTGCAGGTATCTCGACGAGTGCAGGTTCTTGACGAGGTGAAGGGGAAGGAGGCTGTGGATGATCTACGTCATCTGGCGGTACTGGCACTTCAGACAAGGTTGGATTCCGTCGTTCCTCCTCCAGTTCCCAAGACGCAAATACCTTGCACGGATTCTCGAGCACAATGACTGTATCCGGATCCGGGTCGATGATGTGGACGGTGGGTGCCATGACCGGTCTTGAGAATGTGTAGCGAGATCAATGGAAGTATATCCAACAAGCAAGTCGGCTGGCAAGGTGGGCGTCCAAGTGAGATGGCTGAGAAAGAAGAAGTCAGGACTTCTTCTGACCGCAAACTGAAGTAGGCTGACGCTTCCATGTCGCTTCCACACGCTGCGCATCCATTACATTGACCTGCGCATCATGTCCAATAACACATGCAGAACCAGCTATCAGTGCGGAGTCGTGCAGCGATGTGTTTGCTGTTCAGCGCCAACCCAACGGAAAAGATGTATCATTGGAGGCTCGCGTTACACAACGCCACTGAGCTGCATCGCCAATACATGCGGGATAAGACATGCATGCAGAGGACGGAATACGGTGCGAGGAATGATTGGATGTGGTCAAATGGCACCGCGAGCGCGCAACCGGTAAAGGCGCAGTGTCGTGGCTTGAGGTTCTGGAAAAGTGTATGGAGAAATACAAACATGGCGGCTAGCGACGAGATGCGTTGCGCAACTGCCATTGGTAGAGATCATGACCATATTCTCTTTCCTATCCCTCCTCCTCCAGCACACTCCTACAAAGCCTTCCTAACCGCACTCTTAAACGGAATAATCTGCATATCCTCCAAATTCCAAACCCCCTCCTTAACATAAACATCCTGCTTCAACCTCTCCACAACCTCCTCCCTCGTCTTAGCACCAATGAGGCACGCCGAGCCCTTCATCTTGGGTGGGCCCGTGTCGCCTTCTTTGATGGGCTCTTCGAGCATGGCTCCTGTAGAAATGTCTCATTAGCCTTATCTTCTTGTTCTACGCAATACTGCCACATGAGTGTGGGGTATCCAACGCGAGGCAAGTAAACTTGTCATGCCACATTGACCTGCCACTTCTACAAAGACAAGAACGGGTCTAAACATACCACCCCACAACCACATATCCTCCCTATCCGCCTTCAACCCCTCGAGATGTTTCGGGCGACTCGCAATACGCTTCTGCAACGCATCCTTATGATCAGGCACGATGATGAGCCATTCTTGTAGTGGAGCGGTAGACGATGCCATTGTGCGGTGTTGGAACAGCGGTGCGTATCTCGATGATGTTGTTGCGAGGGAAGATGCGATGACGGGACGGAAGGTGCGGAGGGCAAACATATGTATGTGTCGTAGCAAGCAGGTGGGCGTGTGGGGCTGCGGCTATGGGGACTTGAGCTTGGGAGAGCTACGAGAAGGTGCGCGTGTTAGGTTCTTGGTAGAGGGAATTGGGTGGAGAAAGATACGTACGGTATGCAGTACTTCAAATGTGCTTATAGAGGTACGCCGAGTAGTATGTACTTCCAAGGGCGCGTGTTGGTTGTACTGTTGTAGGGCGCAATGTGGGGAAGATGTAGCTTCCTGTTCGGAATTAAGCCGCGGCTTTCGGAACGTGTCACGCTAGTGTTGGAGCGTGGGGAGATTGAGGACATCACGGTGTGGGCGAAACTCAATTGCTGCGGAAAAATCGTGTTCCAGAGAACGTTGTGTTCGCTACATACATTATGACTTGACAATAAACACATCCAACTCATGAGCTCATACCCCCTTGCGTTAATCCAAGCGTACCTACGCGTAAAGACCACCAACGCCGAAAACAATCGGAAAGACCATATGCGTCAGAGCGCTGCTCTTACCTAAACCCATCCTACAAATGTGCATTGCAGTGCTTAACCACTGCACATGACGCAGGACTCAGGGTTCTCTATCGAGCAAGCAAGGGCGGCTTCAGCATAGATGTCACCATCCCGGTCCTCGCTGTCATCCTTGGAGTCCTCATCTTGTTTGTCCTTCCTGGTGATCTCCTCGTCCGGCTTGACGGCTGCATCAGCAGCTACCATCTTTGGGCTCGCGCCCTCCTCCACATCGGCCTTGAAAGGCTTGCTTGCGAGAGCGTTGCGGGTCTCCGTGACAGGCGTTGGAGTAGCATCTGGGGTAGCATCTGGGGTGGGAACACCGTTTTCCTCCTCCTTCTTCTCCTCGCCGTTGGTAGGCTTGGTGGCATACATTGGACGAGGTGCCGAAGATGGGGTTTGCGAAGCAGTGACAGGTGAGTGTCGGATAGCCTCAGGCTGGAAGCCCGGTTGCTTTCGTACCTTGGGCAGAGCACGAGCAACGTTGGTGTCCACGACGTTGAGGGCCTCTTGGTCGACAGTGAACTGGATAGGTGCTGAAGCAGCCATGGTACGAAGGTAGTACATGCCAGTCTTGAGACCAGCCTTCCAGCCAGCAAAGTGCATGGAAGTGATCTTACCCATGGTAGGCTCCTTCATGTGGATGTTGAGAGATTGAGACTGGTCAATGAAAGCACCACGGTCAGCGGCCATCTCAATGATCCTCTTCTGCGAGATCTCCCACACGGTCTTGTAGAGCGTCTTGGTCTCCTCGGGGATGTTGGGAATCCTGGCAATTGAACCGCCATCAGCGATGATACGGTTCTTCATGTTCTCAGACCAGAGGCCCATGTCGACGAGATCCTTAAGCAACCATGGGTTGACGACCTGGAACTCACCCGCAAGCACACGGCGAGAGTAGATGTTGGATGTGTATGGCTCGAAGCACTCGTTGTTGCCCAGAATCTGCGAAGTAGAGGCAGTTGGCATGGGGGCAATGAGCAGAGAGTTGCGTACACCGTGCTCAGCGATCTTTGCCTTCAAGGCAGCCCAGTCCCAAAGGTCCGTAGGTTCGACACCCCACATGTCATACTGCAGTTGACCCTGAGAGACGGGAGATCCCGGGTAGGTCTCGTAGGGACCAAGTTCCTTTGCAATATCGCATGAGGAAGTGAGAGCAGCGTGGTAGATGGTCTCGAAGATCTGAATATTGAGCTTTCTCGCTTCATTGGACTCGAAAGGCATGCGGAGGGCAAGGAAGGCATCAGCGAGACCCTGGACACCCATACCGATGGGTCGGTGGCGGAAGTTGCTGCGGCGTGCCTCTTCGACTGGGTAGTGGTTGACCTCGATGATCTTGTTCAGGTTGCGGGTGACGACTTGTGTGACTTCGTGGAGCTTCTTGAAGTCAAACTCGCCACGCTTGTAGTCGACGAAGGAAGGCAGGGCAAGAGAAGCCAAGTTGCAGACGGCAACCTCATCAGGAGCAGTGTACTCGACGATCTCGGTGCACAGGTTGGAGCTTCGGATGGTACCGAGGTTCTTCTGGTTGCTCTTGCGGTTGCAAGCGTCCTTGTAAAGCATGAAGGGGTTACCAGTCTCGGTCTGAGCCTCAAGGATGGCGTACCAGAGCTTCTGGGCGCGGACAGTCTCGCGACCCTTGTTCTGCTTCTCGTAGCTCTCGTACAGAGCCTCGAACTCATCACCATAGACATCGGCGAGGCCGGGGCACTCGTTGGGGCACATGAGTGTCCAGTTTCCATTGTCTTGAACACGCTTCATGAACAGGTCGGGAATCCACAGAGCGTAGAAAAGGTCACGAGCACGGACCTCCTCTTTGCCGTGGTTCTTGCGCAGGTCGAGGAAGCCGAAGACGTCGGCGTGCCATGGCTCGAGGTAGATGGCGAAGGCACCGGGACGCTTGTTGCCACCCTGATCGACATAGCGAGCAGTGTTGTTGTACACACGGAGCATAGGGATGAGACCGTTGGATGTTCCGTTGGTGCCACCAATGTATGAGCCAGTAGCACGAATGCGGTGGACGTTGAGACCAATACCGCCGGCAGTCTTGGAGATCAGCGCACATGTCTTGAGTGTGTCGTAGATACCGTCAATGCTGTCCTCCTTCATGTCGATGAGGAAGCATGACGACATTTGTGGCGATGGTGTACCCGCGTTGAACAGTGTGGGCGAGGCGTGTGTGAAGTACTTTTGAGACATGTAGTCGTAGGTCTCGATGGCCTTCTCGATGTCGGCTCCGTGAATACCGACAGCGACACGCATGAGCATGTGTTGTGGACGCTCGGCGACCTTGCCGTTGATGCGGAGGAGATATGAGCGCTCAAGCGTCTTGAAGCCGAAGAACTGGTAGTTGAAGTCGCGGTCGTAGACTATAGCCGAGTTGAGCTCGTCGGCGTTGTCCATGATGATCTTGTAGATGTAATCAGAGATCATGGGTTGGCGGGTGTTGTTCTTGGGGTTGACATAGTTGTACAGCTCTTCTACAACTACAGAGAATTGCTTCTGTGTCTGTTTGTGAAGATTTGATACGGCAATACGCGCAGCGAGGATGGCGTAGTCGGGATGTGTGGTGGTCATGTATGCTGCTGTCTCGGCGGCCTGTCTTCTGTTAGCCACTGGATAGACATTGAACTCATCGAGAGCCGTACCAAGTCGTCTAGCTGGACGGTGTTGACACCCTGGTAGACACCAGAAATGACCTTCATGGTGATGGCGGCGGGGTCAACATGGTCTGGGTCGAGGCCGTAACACAGCCTTGAGACTCGTGCTGTGATCTTGTCGAACTGTACGCGTTCCTTGCGTCCATCTGGAGTCAATCGTTAGTGGTGAAGATTTGAGGCGGTGAAGGCAAAGCAGTACATACCACGCTTGAGGACGAACATGTTGAATTAGAAAAGTAGTGGGGGTATCTGTGTGGGTATCGTGAAGAGGGTGTACTGAGGAGAGTGCAGGAGTGAGGGGTGGGTGGACGCAGGGACACTTATAACGCGTAAAGAGAAGAAACGCGTCCCGTCGCGTTGCTTGGGTCACGGATCCGTTTAGTGCTAAAGTGGCTGCTTGCATAAGCAGAGCAGGCGTGGCAGGGATGTGGAGTCGGGGAAGCGACCGCCGATGCCCGAACTTTTCGCGGGCGACAGTATCGCGGCGTGCAAGAGGCTGAGGTAGTGCAGCAACATCAAGACCCTCCACGCTCTTTCCGGTCTATACACAACCAATTGCCCGTCATGGCAGGCGGTCACATGAAATATCGCCACCTCAGTCGGTCGTCGTCGCATCGTCAAGCGCTCCTGCGGAACCTCGTCACATCGCTCTTCAAGCACGAAACCATAGCGACAACATGGCAC